GAAGACAGGGGAATCGAGTCACTTTCGAACTGGGTTTTCTGTTACTAATGATAATATTGAACATCAAAGTTTGAAATCCAATTTCCAGCCAGTGCTGTGTCTGTGGTTCAAACTGAAGTGATCAAATTTTGAACCCGTCTGTGGAATTCAAACTATTCGAATGAAACTATACGTCGATGTAGATGCCAATAGACCTGGAACTTGATTTACAAAACGCCCAGTAGAGGACTAGGATATCAGTTGATATGAGAGCAAAGTCACACATCATGTTTAATATTAGGCCGGAGAAAACCGTTAATGCTTCTCTGTTAGGATTTGTTCAGAAGCGAAATGGCAAACCTCTACACCAGACCACTGATTTCGCTCTATATGGTCGAAACAAGGTTCCAGGAAACATCGAGATCATGTTACAAACGCGTGAAAACCCCATTCAGGTATTGGATGTAATGCAGACAAACGTCTAGCATAGAAAACTGGCAAAGAAAGCAATTTAGTGAGATAAATTTAAACTATATTAAAACACTTCTTGAAAGTAATTTTTTAGTTCCTAGGTGAACAGGAAAATGCACTGTGTTTACTTGATATGTGGTGCACCACCCATTGAGCCATTTTAAGTAACCTAATCACTTTGGATAGTGTCCTAACATTAAAAATGGCTCTAGATTTGTACTAGGGTAGTTTCACGATAGTGTAGTTACCTTGCTGCATTATTTTGATGTAGCTGGCAATTATTGCTGAGGTTAGTCGCGAAGTAGGTAATAGTTCAAGGTGGCTAAGAGAATCAGCGCCATCCTCGTTACGACTGTCCTCTCATTACATCGTGATATTATTACTAGCATTATTATGGGTAGAATGGGATCAAGAGTTATAATGAATAAACAGTGAAGACTAGGACTAAACCACTTTTTTGAAGGCTGTTCGTAGACCAACTTTGATAAGGCTATGATATAGAGTTGACATTGTGATGCACGCAAAACATTGCTCGACAACCGAACAACTTTGAACTAAAAAAGGGGCTCTCTGTCTGTGGCCTTGGGGTTTTCTTTTATGGCCAAAACAACAGATATGTACAACTCATTAGTGTTGGGCTTCTGGCTCCTCATTGGTCAGCTCCCTTTCTATCCCCACGCCATATATCCTAGTCAGTTAGTAACGTTCTATGATAAATACGTCATCACTAACTTGACCTGGGGCCTGGGTTTCCGAATCATTTTCGATTAATCACTAACATCTTTCACAGTCAGACGTCAAATACAGCAGAGGAAACTGAATTGAATTTATGTTCACTCCTTCAAGTCGAGGTTATTTCAAAAGTTGCATGACGTGATATATAACTGGGATACCTTCGTTCGGTGCTGAGAAAGTCGATCTTAATCGCTGAGACAAAAGAATAGAACTCCAGAGTGATCTCGGGAACTGCAGTTTAAAAACACAAATCACGAAAAGAAGAATTTTTCATAATAACACAAAATTTTAATAATAACGACTTGTATTGTGCCTCCTACGAGAATCGTTTTATGATGTAAAATGTTTTATTATTCCTCCCTCTCATTATTCATCTTTGCTCCCTTCCAATCAGTCAGAACGTCATTCAGTTTCTGTATCTGAATATCATTTAAAACGGATGTCTGCTATGTGGGTGACATTTCATCATGTCATGATGCAAGATGGTCATCGAGTTAAAGTCATTTTTACATAAAATTTGTTTGCGAAATTAAGTATCATACTAGAAAACCGACAACCGAAACTACACGAAGGTTGTTTTCACTATAACGTCCTGATCGACCGATGTAGACTGCTTTCAGTTTTCAATCTGAATCTTAAACATTTTATTGTTTATAGAAGATTTTATTGCGTGTAGACAGTTATTAGTTCATGCTCACGAGTTACTGGGTTTGGTTACTGGGAATGATCCTCACTGCTTAGTACGTAATTTTGAGACGTTAACCACACATCACACACCGAATTTGCAGCTGAAACTCCTAAAGTCCCATGTTCTTATCTAGCTAGATCCTTAAAACTTACTCCATAGATTCTCGAATGTCGCAGGTTCATAAAGTAAATACAGAAATGTAAATAACGGCACTATATATCTGTCTACATTAGGGCGATAGCAGTACCATTGAATTCCTGGTCAGAGAAACTTATGGGCTGACTGAGACATTCTTAGTCTTATACTGAGGCAGCGTTTTGACTGGTATACCTTAAGGACCTTTCATCTGTAACGATACCACTATTCGAAGGCGCATCGCTTGTTATATCAATTTCATACAATATATCGTGTTTTTTAGAGATGAGGATCCATTAACTTATCAGCTATTAGTAATCATCTTAAACATGTTGATCCATCTAAGATTTAGATCGAGAAAACCTGTTTTGAGGAGAGAAATTGTAGTATTATACTTACTGCACAATAAAAATTCGAGATGATTTTTACTGTAAACATTGAAGAGGAAGTAGTGGTTTGCGACAATACAATAAACCAGTGAACAGCATGCGGAAAATGTATACAACATCTTATTTTGAAAAGGATTGTAATATCTAAAACAGACTGTCTATAATTCTACCGAACACTAGATAAACTGGATTTTTTCATCATGTTAAGAAAATGTATTATATTTTATATTATATTTTAATGGCGACTAACATTCAGTGAAACTGTAGTAGTCAGAGGTAAGCTACGTGGAGTCAACTAATGACCTAGCGGTGGGAAGGTAATGTTTAGTCAGTATTCAGATTCATTGGGTTTCTTATTGATTAACCATATGTCTAATTTTTCTCCTTTTAACAACGAAAAGATTTAATGAGACTAAGAGAAATTTGAGTCTAGCATTCCTTATGTTGTTTTATAATTCTTGATACTAGATGACTGAAGGATTTTTCTGACTTCGAGTAATAAAAAAGACACAAATGTAAATGTCCTACAAGGTTGATCAGACTAAGTGGAGAGTAGTTCATAATTTGAAGTTACGCTAGTTGTTATGCAAGCGTGAAACTGGCTTCACAACTAACTAAATTTAATTTATGATTGTCATAATGATGTGACTTCTAAAAAATCATTTTCACGTCTTAGAACCTTCAGGTTCTAACCTAGATAGGACCAAGATATTAAGCGAAAATTAACTAACAAGACATTTGAAGACGTGTCAGGCTTAAATATGACGTGGTTGGTCGATGCATTTCACTGATGGTTCTTTCAAAAATTTTGATCCATCGAATAATCGTCAATTTCTGTTCGTCCAGCCAACTCATTTTAATTGCAATGAAAGCGGTAAATTATATTTTTAATAACAGTTTTAAGTGGATTTTATTTGCCTACGAAAACAAATATTATAACCGTTTTTCATCTTGCTTTCGTTCCGCAGTAAAGTAAGCCTATGGAATACATGAAATCTTATCTTTATTTTAATTCTGCTCCCATTCATTAAAAATGATGATTTATTACCGGGTAGGAATGGGTTACAAGAAATATGCCAGTTTAGAGGTAAGTTCAAAAGGTTAGTCTCAGTCTACTCTTGACTATTGTGACGTTTATCACAAAACGCTGCTAGGTGTTCATTGCCGAAAGCATTACACCTTCAGAATGCTGAAGTTTTCCAGGTTCGCTCACTGTCGTAGGTTACTTCGATTGCTGAATCACGTATGTCTACTGCGATACTCATTGGTGCTTTGGTGTTGAGGTCTACTAACATAGTTGAACAGGCGATATATGCCTTTACTGTGAAAAAAGCCCTCTACTCAATGTAGTTAGGAGCCTCATTAAAGACATGAAACTCACTACGAGCCATCTATAGAAACCAACTAGCTCGTTGGTCATGTGCAGTTATTTAAATATGACATGCCCTGAAAAAAGACAGTTGTACCTCCCAAGGATACTGTCAAGTTATGGACGTGCAGGAATGAGTTACGACCAAGCGCGGTTTTTGTATTTATTTTTCGGTAATTCAGAGCTGTCCACTTTAGGGGGCGTAATCAGCGAGGAGGCTCACGGCCTCACTCAAATAATCCCGGGGTCTGTCATTTGGTCGCATTCGTTTTTGGCAAGTTTGGCTTCTCAAGAGCTAGTCTTCGGCTATAATACTATACAGGTGGTCCTGCAATCTTAATGTGAAACATCACTAGTAACACACCGTCATGCTTGGTACAGTTTCAGGTACATGTCGACTGTTAGTTAAAAAGACCGGTCGATCATGTGTTTAACAGTTGCCAGACATAACCTACAGTTGGAGAACGAAACTTCACAAACAGATTATTTGGTGTCACCTTCTACCAACCATCATTTGTTGTGTTATGGTGTTGTGGAAGGTCTATATTAATGACGACCAGTGAGACTTCAGTCACACAAAAAATTCAGTTAATAGGTTAATGTAAACGCACATTAAGGTAAACGTACCGTTAACTGTGAGTAATGGTTATTTTTCGTTTACCGCCGATAGATGGGAAACTGTGACGCAGAGTGTCTGTGGCAGCAGCAGCGTTGTGGAAAAATTAGCCTAATCTTTGTCGACTGGTCAGGTCTCTAAGTTTAGTAACCGCCCAATTTAGTATGAGAAAAAAGGAAACAAAAATAATAAACCGAAATGTAAGGATACATGAACATGTACAACGTTATCATAAGGAACAGGCTGACTATTTATCACTGAATGCGATAGATCATGTCTTGCTCAATAATGAGAGAGTCACTGATTTTAAGTTTTGTGACAATGCCTTTGTCTATAATAGCTTTCACAAATGGAATACGAAAGTTTAGTAAAACCAGAGGTCATGTACGAAGGAACTTGAAGGTATGTTTGAAAGATATTCGGGATGTTGAGAAATTCGTAATCTAAGCTGGCTAGTTGTCGCGAGAGAACGACGTACCAAACGGTGTTCTGGTGAGGATGTGTGGTCTAACACCTTCATTTAGGTTGTTTCCACTAAAACAAATGAATGGCACCAAGGCAGAAGACTAACAAAACTATTTATTTTGCTTTTTTATCCGGAATACAATAAAAGTTGAAGGCGCGTCTTCATAAGCTACGTTACACATCTGATTGTGTTTTAGGTTTAGTTGTTGTCGATTACTGCGTCTGATAATGTACCCAATAAGTTATCAGTTTAATTTTATGGAATTTTTCCAGATCCTTGACAACGGGGTGTCGTGAATTACGTATGCTCAACATCTTAAAGAGCGTATGGTCCATTCGAACAATTATGAGGATGAAGATCATATCGCTAGACTTATATGCCAGCGTTGTTCAAAGTCATTTAAATCCCATCTTACACTAAAGCACCATACTGAAGGTGAGCGTTAGCAATTGGTTAACAATGTTCATAATCTGTATTATGTTTCCTTCCCTCCGTTTCCAATGAGTACTCATTGCAAAAGATGAGTACTTAACGTTCAGCTATATCTTGAGAAGACATGCTGAGTGCTCTTTAGACATCTGGATACAGGTGTAACTCTAAGCTTGTCTGGTAATAGTTGACGTCAAGCATTTTTAGACTCAACGCTTCAATGGTAATGATAACAGACTAGGTAGCCTCCATTAGTCATAGAGATCGTACTTCATAGATACATTTTCTCTTCAGTAGTACAACCAGATGCTGATATTGCAGATTCTGACAAAACCCATCAGTTCTTATCTAAAGACGGGATTCCAGAAAAAGCCTATCTGATTTTGGTTTCTTAACGTTAAAATAACATTTCAGGTGATCAAAATCCAAATCAACAGTCTGTGATGTATTCCTTTGGTTATGGTTTCTATGGAACCTTGAATGTGAGGTACCTCTTTCCAGAAATTCTATAGACTGAAGATGAGTCTTATACCTGTTACTCCTAATAGAGCATAGGCCTCCCACCAGCATTCTGCGACCAACTCCGTCTTGGACCTTTCTTTCCAGTGAACCCCGATTACCGTTCATTCCCCTCATGTATGTTTCCGATTCACGAACCTAAGTCGATACAAACCAATCATGAGCCAAAATTTTGCATTTCGCGAGGAAAGCTGCATCCTGAACATGCATTGTCAGAAGACAGCACTTTGTCAGCGTCTTCACCAAGTAGAACTATGTCATCGGCATATTCTATGTCAGCAAGCGATTTTCCTGGTAGAAGATTCACTCCTGAAAAGTCAGATATTGATGAAGTTAGCTCTGTGAGCATGTCTACGACAAAGTTTAATTGAAGTTTTTTCTCATCGACTCAAACACCACATCTTATACTGACGTATGAATGGTTTTTGGATTTCTCATGGTAACTAACATTTCTGCTTCTTTTAGAAAGAAGTGATTCGAACTCCAATACCTGTAACCCCGATAGGTGCAAATCCAATGACTGTAAAACAATGGCGTGCACATTACATTTCATATTATTTGATTGGTTGGAAAACAAATTTGTCAGAATCCGGACAATGATAATAGTACATATATGTATATATCGAATGTTACCATGACTTCCCAAGCATACTCGATTACTAAAATCTCGCGGACCCCGACCAGGTAGTCGACAATGACCTACATGGCTAAGTCCACTCGTCAATGACTTCATTGATTTCTGCCTTGTTTTGGTTTGGCCGCCCCTAACTTTCTTCCAACCTATTCCTACACTACAAAACAAAGCTCGTCGAGGCAGTCGGTGGTTAGGCATACGCAACACATGTCCCAACCACCTCAACTGATGAAGTCTCAATAGTTCATCTATTGATCTGCCATTCTTACCTAGCACCCGATTCCTAATAACAGCGTTGCTCACTCGGGTGTCCCACGGTATACGAGCAATGCTTCGAAGACACCTATAATCGAAAATCAGTAACCTACGAATATCTTCCACTCTCAGTGGCCATGTTTCACTGCCATAAAGAAAGACGGAGCGAACCACTGCACAGTACACTCGACCTTTAGTCAGCAAACGGATATCTCGCCTGCTCCATAAGTGACGCAGGTTGGCAAAAGCCAATCTAGACTTCTGTATCCGTGCTGAGATTTCGTCAGTCACCAAGCCATCGGCCCTGATGAGACTCCCAAGATAAGTGAAGCGGTCTACACGTTCGTCTACTTCACTCCCTATCACTAGTTCAGGTGCCGATGAAACCCAGTCTTGAAACAACATTTTGCATTTCGAGGGGGGAAACCGCATCCCGAACATGCTTGCATTGTTGCTTGGGGTAGTCAAACGACTGCATTTTGTCAGCGTCTTCACCAAGTAGGACAATGTCATCGACATATTCTAAGTCGACAAGCGATTTTCCTGGTAGAAGGTCTAATCCTAAAAATTCTGACGAGGATAATGTTAACTCCAAAAGCATGTCTACGACAAAGTTAGACAAGAATGGGGAGGTGACATCCTTGACGGACACCACTTGAAGTAGAGAATTCCGGTGACAGTTCGCCATAAGCTCTCACGCGATCTGTAGTGTTTGAGTAGAGAGCTTGTATAAGGTTGATGCGCTTCTTTGGTACACCTTTCAATGACAGACACTGCCACAGAACCTTACGATCCACTGAGTCAAATGCCGCTTTCAGGTCCAGGAAAACAACTATTGTAGGACGCCTAAATGTGTGTCTGTGTTCCAGGACCTGTCGTCGTGTGAAGATGTGGTCTATACAACCACGTCCAGGTAGAAAACCAGCCTGGTTTTCTTTAGTTTGCTCTTCACAATTCCCTCCCGTAAAGATGATATCTAATACCTGTCGTTAATTAGTGTTTTATCGTGAACTTGTGAACGATTAGTTTATTGCACACAAATGCTAAAGTAACACTGAATTTTCTGGTGTGAATGTTGCTTTTAGGCAGTTTGTTTTGATTACATTTTTCTTGCAGTTGTATAACGCTCTAGCAGAGGTTTCAATCTTGTAATTTGCACTTAAGTTACGTAGTTAGGTGGGTTAAGACTGTCCTCAGCGTAAACCGTAATGTATTTGGAAGTATAGACTAACTTTTATTGTCGATCTGTTTACCACAGGCAAATTAGAAAGTAACATTTTAATGATAATTTTATTCCGTGATTATACCATATACCTTATTCTGCCATAATCTTTCCATTTAGTTTGTTCTAATCGTAATTCAGAGCCAAGATTCTGTTGTGAGATATGTCGAAAGAAATTTAGAACCGATATTCAGTACACCCGTCACATATATTACACTCATTCACGACGTACTTTTTTATGTAAAGAAGAAAGTGAGTTTGTATCTATTCGTGATTTTTTTATTGTTCATTTCTTAGAAAACGTTTTGCAAGCTCGTAATTAGTTGATTGAACCATAAATGAAATAAACTATATTGTTTTCTAAAGTTTATATTGATTCTGCATGCTTATGAAGAAAGTAATTATCTTCACTTGTAAGGGTCTGTGAAACAGCTTGATCCCTATTCTCAAGTTGTCACTAATAAAGCGGATTTATCACTTGCAACTCACATGTGTTGTCACTTATTTTCATGGTTGTATTTTTCAACAACCGTATGCTGCGTGCCAGACGTTTAGCTGTATAAACTACAAAAACTGAAGAGACGGAATCTCTCATACATCTCAGTCAGTCAGTCCATAAAAACGTAGAACTTCGTACTTACGTACATCAGTTCAGGCCGCCAAATCACATTAGCACAGAAACACAACTGTCAGTTCAAACCCCATAGTAGTACAGATAGTATAAGTATTCGCAGTTATAAAGACGAGGGTTCGGAGGTGTTATTCAAGAAGTATAATTCAGTGAAATAAATTTAAAAGGAGAAATAAGGCGGTGATGAGGAATTAATAAGACTAGAATTAGAGAGAACACAAAGAGTGGATGCACCTGCGCCATTGCAAACGATTTTGAGCCATGTTGTTCAAGGTCTGTAACCATCGGTTAGTATCGTCTCGCGGACCCCAACCAGGTAGTCGACAACTATCGACATGACTCAGTCCACTTGTCAGTGACTTCATGGACTTGTGGCATGTTTCGGTCTGACTGTCCCTAGTTTTCTTCCAACCTATTCCTACATCGCAAAACAGCTCATCGAGGCAGTAAGCGGTTGGGCATACGTAACGCATGTTTCACAGCCATAATGAAGGACAGAGCAAACTAATACGCAGTTAACTCGTACTTTGGTTAGTGCAGTCAGATAAGGGAATGTGAGTAGAGTTGGTTGTGGAGAGAAGAGGTGTGTGTGTGGGTGCAGGAAGGATTTTATTTCGACCAATTTGGTCTCTCGTGCTGTTACGGGTATGAGGGCGGTTGTCACTTCCCGGCTGCCCACACCGTGGAAAGTTGTTTCTTGAGGGACCTGAAAAGGAAGATGGATTAGTGTTGGTCTTGGAGACCTGGGTGCGTGACCGCAGAGTCCAAGGGACAACTGCTTGAGGCCGGTCACGCACGGCCTTTTTATGAAATGTTTTTTGAGTATTAGCTCCGTTCTTAAAGGCCCTAAGTGGGCACCCTTACCCAAGGAGACGGAAATCCGTGAGTTAGGGGAGGTGTGACATTTTTAGGGCCGACCTTTTCTAACCTTTCCTTCCTTGTGAGAAGGCAGCATCGCTGCAGATGCTGGTTGTCCGAGGGAAACACCTTACTGCTGTCACTGCTCTATACAGTCAGCAGTACGACTTCGCCCTCAGACCTTGGGTAGCTGCTTTTAGTCTCATCGTTCTCCAATCGACCAGCCTTGCATGGTAGGACCTGCAGGAACATATGTTCCAGGCAGTATAGCTCGGTGGGGTCATCACGATAGGCAAGCCCGACCACCACGTCAAGGTAGCAGCTACGGTCGGGTGGCGTAGGCATAGCATTGAGTCTTAGAGCTGAACAATCTCTCCTTGACTGGATTCCAGTAGATAGTCGATTGTGCGCTGACCGACTTAACGGGACAGTAAGCGCTCGGAAAGGTAGGGACACTCGCTGTTGCCTCTTCATCGTATCTGCCTATGCCCTCACTGACTGCAGTTCAGACGAGGTTAAAGATGAGTTTTACAGAAAGCTTTCGAACCTCCTCCAAAAAGCTAGGCACTCTGATATAGTAATAATGGCTGGTGACTTCAATGCTCAAGTAGGTAGACTAGGTGAAAATGAAAGACACCTGGGTGGATGTTATGGTGTCGTGTCTCAGAGAACAGACAATGGTGACCGTCTGTTGCAAGTATCCTCAGACAACCGCCTATTCTTAGCAAACACTAACTTTAGGCATTAGGAAAAGCATCTGTTGACCTGGCGACCTCCAAAGTCGTCTCAACGTTGGACCCAACTAGATCACAAGGATGGTGGTCAAGTTTTATCTGCTAGGTTGACTGAGATCTTAGGTAGAATCTGGAAACTGGACGTAATCCCATCCGACTGGTCTCAATCACTGATTGTCCCAATCTATAAGAAAGGACAAAAGTCTTCTTGTGACAATCACAGGGAAATAAGTCTAACTAATATAGTATCTAAAATATTGGCCTCAATAATACTTCGGCGCCTAAGGAAAGCCCATGAAGAGTAGACTAGAGAAAACCAGTCTGGTTTTCGACCTGGACGTGGTTGTATAGACCACATCTTCACATTACGACAGGTCCTGGAACACAGACACACATTTAGGCGTCCTACAATAGTTGTTTTCCTGGACCTTAAGGCGGCATTTGACTCAATGGGTCGTGAGGTTCTGTGGCAGTGTCTGTCATTGAAAGGTGTACCAAAGAAGTCATTAACCTCATACAAGCTCTCTACTCGAACACCACTGGTCGAGTGAGAGCTTATGGCAAACTGTCACCGGAATTCTCTACTTCAAGTGGTGTCCGTCAGGGATGTGCACTTTCTCCATTCTTGTTTAATTTTATCATAGACATGCTCCTAGAAATAACCTTATCCTCATCTGAATTCTCAGGAGTAGACCTTCTACCAGGTGGCTCTCTTATTGGCTTAGAATATGCCGATGACATTGTCCTACTTGGTGAAGACGCTGACAAAATGCAGTCTTCTAACTACCCTAAGCAACAATGTAAGCATGTTCGGGATGCGGTTTCCCCCCTCGAAATGCAAAATGTTGTTTCAAGACTGGGTTTCATCGGCACCTGAACTAGTGATAGAGAGTGAAGTAGTAGAACGTGTAGACCGCTTCACTTATCTTGGGAGTCTCGTCAGTGCCGGTGGCCTGGTGACTGACGAAATCTCAGCTCGGATACAGAAGTCTAGATTGGTTTTTGCTAACCTGCGTCACTTATGGAGCAGGCGAGATATCCGTTTGCTGACTAAAGGACGAGTGTACTGTGCAGTGGTTCTCTCCGTCTTACTTTATGGCTGTGAAACATGGCCAGTGAGAGTATAAGATAATCGTAGGTTACTGGTTTTCGATCATAGCTGTCTTCGAAGCATTGCTCGTATATTGTGGGACACCCGAGTGAGCAACGCTGTTATTAGGAATCGGGTGCTAGGTAAGAATGGCAGATCAATAGATGAAGCATTGAGACTTCATCAGTTGAGGTGGTTGGGACATGTGTTGCGTATGCCTAACCCCCGACTGCCTCGACGAGCTATGTTTTGTAGTGTAGGAATAGGTTGGAAGAAAGTTAGGGGCGGCCAAACCAAAACAAGGCAGAAATCTATGAAGTCATTGACGAGTGGACTTAGCCATGTAGGTCATTGTCGACTACCTGGTTGGGGTCCGCGAGATGATAATAATCGATGGTTAGAGACCTTGAATGACTTGGTACAAAATCGTTCGCCTTGGCGCCGGTGCATTCATTCTCTGTGTTCTGTCAAATCCTAATCTTCTGAATTCTTCAACCCCTCTACTTTTGACTTTCTAAACTTTTCTCACTGAATCATACTTCTTGAATAATATCTTCTAATCCTCACCTCTCCGATTACTTCTAATAATCTTACTACCTCTTCTACTATTGGATTTGAATTGACAATTACATCTGTGTGCTGATGTGGCATGGCGACATGAACTGATGTACTTACGTACGAAGTTCTACGTTGCATGTGACTGACTGACTGACTTTGGTTAGTATACTGATATCTCTCCTACGCCATAAGTGACGAAGGTTGGCAAAAACCAGTCGAGAGTTCCGTATCGGTGCTGAGATTTCGTCAGACACCAGGCCACCAGCACTGTTAAGACTCCCGCGTAAATGAAGCGGCCAACATGCTCAACTGCTTCACTCCTTATCGCTAGTTCAGGTGTCGATACAAACCAATCCTGAACCAACATTTCGCATTTCGCGAGGAAAGCTGCATCCTGAACATGCATCGTCAGAAGACAGCATTTTGTCAGCGTCTTCAACAAGTAGAACTATTTCATCGGCATATTTTAAGTCGACAAGCGATTTTCCTGGTAGAAGATTCAATCTGTGAAGTTAGCTCTGAGAGCATGTCTACGATAAAGTTAAACAGGAATGAAGAGAATAAGCAGCCCTGATGTACACCACTAGAAGTAAAGAACTCCGATTACATTTTGCCATAATCTGTCACTTGACCAGTGGTGTTTGAGTGAAGAGCTCGTATAAGGTTAGTGTACTTCTTTGGTACACCTTTCATTGACAGACGCTGCCATAGAACCTCACTATCAACAAAGTCGAATTTCGTTTCAAGGTCTTGATGTAGTACTTTTAAGGGGCGTCTGAACCTGTGTCTTTGTTCTAGGACCTGACTTAGTGTGAATATCTGGTCCATACATCGACTTTCAGGTCTGAAACCACAGTGGTTTCGTCGAGTCTGCTGTTCATGAGCTATAGTTAGGCGTAGAACTATTATTGAAACTAATATCTTGTCACAAGAAGACATAATTTACGAGACTGCATGATTGTTTTTCTAGTTGCTTTCTGAATATACAATTGGTTTTGCTTATGTTAAATAAAACTGTCAGGGGTGTACTCGTTGTGTCTTTCCTACTTCAAGTAGTCCGCAGACAAATACGTGCTCATACCAGCTCATAGTCTGAATCCAAATATGTGCTCCAGAACGAGCGATAGTCTTCTGTCGAACCTCTCGATTTTTGGCTGATAGTAATGTTATCTAATTGTATCCATTGTTGGGTCTATTTCGAGTGTCGCCATGTCAAAAATTGTTTATCTTTATGCCTAAAGTTAGCATTTGATAGAAGCAGTTGGTTGTCTGAACATAGTTGCAGCAAACTGTCGCCATTATCTGTCCTCAGCCGCCACACCAGTTGTCTCTCCTTTCCGTTTAGTCTACCCACTTGACCATTAAAGGTACGAGTCGTTGATCCTGCGTTACCTCATTGCTCAAATGAAGTAAAGTGGAGAGGTGTTAACATGTTCAATCTGTGCCGAAGGTGTTTGTATATAGGGTCTTGAATATGTTAATAGACTTCTTGGACACATCCTCCAATATACAACCCGAGAAAAAACTTATCCAACTACTCAAAGGCATCCTTGATATCAAGAAACATAGTGACTGGTTTACTGCAATAAGTGTGGCACTTTTCTAACACTTGATCTGGGACAGAGCTATGTTCAATGCATTCTCGACCAGAACGAAAAGAATTATCTTCCTTGTAAGTCAACCTTTCTCGGGTTTCGAACAATTTACTATGCATGAGTGTCATCGATGTCACCGGGTCAGTAGATCAGTTGAGCTGTTCCTCGTCAAATCCGTCCATTGTCCAAGACGTTGATGGATGCTATTGATTGGTGTCCGATCAACTTTACAGATTGTTTCACTTCCACCAGACGTCTTGCTGCCGGTGATCCGGATGAATTGAAAGAGCTTCGGGCAGTTGCTAGATACAGCTGCTACTTTCAGCTCGTTAGCATGCTCTGATCACCAAGTTTGTTGGTCTTCTCGCAAACTTTGCAGTATCTGGTTACGTGACAGTCTTCATTGTTTCCTCAAACTCGCGGTTACCCGAAGTAGGCCTATGTACCTCGACGAGTTGTAGGTAGTTTGTAGAAATCTAGTGCTTGTAAGGAGACGTTTCACAAAACCTTGAGCGAATTTACTGACCATTTTCATGGCGCCTTGCAATTGCAGCCAGTGCTCATATGTAATTTTCGGTAGATCGATAACTGTCCTTGAACCTAGCTCAGTCTGATATTTGGTGGCATAAAAGCCACAACAACTTTACTGACATCGATCCGTTTAGAACGATGAATTTGCTGCCGACTGAAATGTAGGATTAGATTAGCGTGAACAAGGACATGGTCAGAATCCAGATAAGAACTCCAAAAGGAGCGAAAGTCTAGTATACAACCACGCCAGTGGTGGCTGGTCGCGATGTGATCAATGTCAGTATGAGTTTGAGATGTAGAGTGAGGACACCAGGTAATAAATACATTGGTGACAACTGTAGCTAGTGCTAGTTAGAAACATGCCTATGGATATAACATTATCTTCGTTTGACTTTTCAAGAGTGAACCTTCTACCAGGAAAATCACTTGTCGACTTAGGATATGCCGATGAAATAGTTCTACTTGGTGAAGACGCTGACAAAATGCTCAGTCTTCTAACTACCTTAAGCAACAATGCAAGAATGTTCAGTATGCGGTTTTTCCCTCCGAAATGCGAAATGTTGGCCCAGGATTGGTTTGTATCGACACCTGAACTAGCGATAAGGAGTGAAGCAGTTGAGCGTGTTAACCGCTTCACTTACTCGGGAGTCTTATCAGTGCTGATGGCCTGTTGTCTGACGAAATCTCAGCGCCGATACGGAACTCTCGATTGGCTTTTGCCAACCTTCATCACTTATGGGGTATGAGAGATGTCCGTCTACTAACCAAAGTACGAGCCTACTGTGCAGCAGTTTACTGGCTTATAATAAGTCACCAAGAATAGAGGATATTCGTAGAGTACTAGTATTTGATCATTGGTCTCTTCGAAATATTGGTCGTATATCGTCAGACCTTCGAGTAAGCAAGTAGGAAAAGAGTACTAGTTAAGGAGGGTGCATATTCTAGACTCTGAAGAACATTTTTCTTGTGTTTATCAAAGTGGTCGCTTCAAACTTCACTTCTAACTATGAAATTGCAGTTCGGAGCACTATTCCATTTACTTTGGTTTAGTCAGTGAAGCGTTATCGCTAGCCCTCACAATGTAACCGAAAGCCTAGTAAACCGGTACTTTGTAGATGAGTTTAATTATTTATTGTTAAAATTCATATTTTCATGTTTTGCTTACCAAAAGGTTTTTAACTAATTTCATTATTATCTTCATTTTTTTAAAATTCAGGTTGTGGTAGAGCATTCTTATCAAACTCTCATCTCCTAGCTCACATGACAACACATACCTCTGATAGGCCTTATTCCTGTCCAGTACAAGGATGTTCTTATCAAGCTCGTACAGCCGGTCGACTTGCTCAACACAAAATTATTCATGGTCAAGGTATGACAATCGTATTTCACATGTTTCTAATCAGTGTTTTCTTGTTTCTTATAGTCCTTCGTAACATGTTTTGCCTAAACAGCGTTGTCGAATCAAGATATTTCCAAATGGATTTTCACTTTGCTTAAAACGATGTTATCTAATATCATAGATTTGAATACGATTTCGGTTACAAAGCTCACTATCTCATTTTTTTACTGCGTCCTTACAGGTCGTCGTTTTTCCTGTGATTATTGTGAATACAGCGCCACGACGTCTTCCAATCTTCGCCGCCATGCTCGTATACATGCTGGGGCTAGACCATATTTATGTCCTCATTGTCCTCACCGTACAAGCGAGCTAGATGCTTTGAAAAAGCACGTTCTAGACTCTGGCAGGCATCCAGGTCTACCTCTTTATGTGTGTCCTTGGTGTCGATCGGAGTCTAGCACAGTTTGTGTTGGCTTTAATGCTTCAGGTCTTGCATGGAGACATCTTCTTAGTGAGCATTCAAGTGAGATTATGAAACCAGAAACACTTAATCGAATCGGTCGGTTATCTGAAAAGTCACTTTCGGAGGTAAGATTATGCGGATCTTTAATTTTTTAGACAAAGTATTTATTTGTCATACAAACTATATTCTTGATCAACATCACCATAGGAACCAACCTTACTGATATCAGCATATATTTTCAGCCTGCTAATGAGAGATTATTGAAGGTTCTTACACCATTATTTTTTGAAATAAAAAAATGTATATTTGCTATCATTCACTCTATAGTAACTGAATATATTATCAAACCTAAAAATCCTTTGAGTACCGTCAGTAATGATTTAAATATATTTGTAAGATTTTTTAACTATTTCGTCTACAAGAAATAGTAAATAATAAACTTGTCTTCTTTCGGTTGACTATGAGTACGCACTATTCCCTCAAACTTTTACTACAGACTCAGTATTGACAACCTTAACCGTTTCTGCTCACTGCCACTTCTAAGGTAGTCTATTAGTTTTTCACCATAAGACTTTATAATAATCCTTGTTATTACGTGGTGTAAAAAATCATTTACTCATTATATAGATGAACCCTTTAAAAGGTGTTTTGGAAACAACATATAAAATTGCTTACCATTGATCCAAACTGTGTGAAGCCCAGCAAAAAAGTATTAGCTATCGATTGTAAGCGCTCATTAGAGTCATTTTTATATGGTTATTGATTCACATAAAAAAGCATGAAATCGAGGTTTAAGGTCAAACTTTGTAATTTGGTACGCCTGTTCATAACAATAAAGAGTTATGTACTCAGTTCATTTTCTACCTTTAACATTTGGTTAATATGCTAAACATTAAGGTTTTAACTGTTGGTGTTCTTAATGCTTAGTATTCTCGGACACCAGTTCACTCGAGACGTTCTCCCAGATCAGATCACGGTTGAGCAGGAAATAGATATATTCCGATAACAAGGTTAGATGGAAGCCAGAAGGTACAAAGGAAAAAGACGTTAGTATATTTATAGTTTTCTTACATGAGAAGATTCTAGAATGTTCCCTTAGTATCGGCTAGTGCTGATTGGATGCGAAAGAGTCAATCAGCGTGCAACAACGCAATCATGCTCTAATCCAATCCATGTCCCACTAAGACCTGTTTTTAATTTCAACATTGATTACCCCATAGTTGTATGTCTTCACTCGTTTGTAAACCACCTCCTTTGCATTTTGACTTATAGTGTTTTGGATAGTAAAATTAGAAAACTTTGTGTTATTTTGGTGCACTACATTTCGAGCGATCTGAATACGCAGCTTGTTAAGATATACGTGGAAAATAAGGGTCAACTAGACAAGTAGAGTAATAAGAGATAAGGAAATAGTGTCGATCATGCTGGATTTGAGAATAAGTCGATATTACCAGAGTTGGTTCAGGGTTAGAAGAAATTGTTTTGCATACAAGTGGGTTTGCATTTTTATATGGTTAAGGGTTCAGAAAATATCAGCATTTGCCTCTGGACACATGACTATAAAAATGACTTTGATTTATTTAAAACACATAATTATTGGTATAAATACGCACCAAAATATATACGTGACACAATAAAAATAAAGTGAAAAGATAGAGAATGGTGAGTATAACATAAGAATAATGGATAGAAATTAGTGTGTGAAAGTGAAATTATAGTAATAATGGTGGGAGAAATAGTTCAGTTAAGGAGAATACAATCTTTTCAGTTAAACTTACTTTCGTTGATGTGAAGAAAATTGTATGAAGTTATAACAGGACTGCCATTGGCTTTTATTCCAACATCTTAGATGCATTTTCAGTCACCCATGCATAAGGACCGCTATTGCTTCTACCAAATTCTTTCTGTACACTAATTTGTTCAGATTGATAGCACACTGGTATGGAATGCAGTCTCAGACTTTTGATTAATCATAAATATTGATTTTTCGATAACGTTGCGTTGAACTGCCCAAAATATCCTGTTGGTCGCTAATTTGTTTCTTCGTTCCAACATAGGACCATTGGTGTCACCTCAGAATGGTAGGCCCGACCGTAGCTGCTACCTTGACGTGGTGGTCGGGCTTGCCTATCGTGATGACCCCACCGAGCTATACTGGCTGGAATATATGTTCCTGCAGGTCCTACCATGCCAGGCTGGTCGATTGGAGAACGATGAGACTAAAAGCAGCTACCCAAGGTCTGAGGGCGAAGTCGTACTGCTGACTGCAGAGGGGTGTGACAGCAGTAAGGTGTTTCCCTCGGACAACCAGTATCTGAAACGATGCTGCCTTCTCACAAGGAAGGAAGGGTTAGAAAAGGTCGGCCCTAAAAATGTCACACCTCCCCTAACTCACGGAATTCCGTCTCCTTGGGTAAGGGTGCCCACTTAGGGCCTTTAAGAACGGAGCTAATCCTCAAAAAACATTTCATAAAAAGGCCGTGCGTGACCGGTCTCAAGCAGTTGTCCCTTGGGCTCTGTGGTCACGCACCCAGGTCTCCAAGACCAACACTAATCTATCTTCCTTTTCAGGTCCCTCAAGAAACTACCTTCCGCGGTGTGGGCAGCCGGGAAGTGATAACCGCCCTCATACCCGTAACAGCACGAGAGACCAAGTTGGTCGGAATAAAATCCTTCCTACACCCCCTAGTACCTCTCTTATCTCCACGACTAACTCTTCTCACATTCATTTATCACAGTGCACAGCTAATGCAGACGGCACGAGTTCGCGAAACGTCGTTCCTGGTCTCCTTAAACCCCGCTCTAGACTACATGTTGGAGCATTTAATGTACGGACATTGTGTCAAATAGGGCAACAGGCATCATTAGCTAGGACTTAAGAATCTCGTGCTATCGATGTATGCTGAGTCTCGGAAACGCGCATACAGGATCCTAGTAAAATTATTAATCTGATTTCACCTTGTCAAAATAAAGAAGCAGCTCGATTTACTCTTCGTGTATCCGGTAGCCCTGATGCTGCTTCCAGGGGTCTTGCTGGCGTAGGTATAGCATTGAGTCGTAGAGCTGAACAATCTCTCCTAGACTGGATCCCAGTAGATAGTCGCTTGTGCGCTGTCCGACTAAACGGGACAGTAAGGACTCTGAAAGATAGGGACAATCGCTGTTGCCTCTTCATCGTATCTGCCTATGCCCTCACTGACTGCACTTCAGACGAGGTTAAAGATGAGTTTTACAGAAAGCTTTCGAACCTCCTCCAAAAAGCTGGGCGCTCTGATATAGTAGTAATGGCTGGTGACTTCAATGCTCAAGTAGATAGACTAAGTGAAAATGAAAGACACCTAGGTGGATGTTATGGTGTCGCGGCTCAGAGAACAGACAATGGTGACCGTCTGTTGCAAGTATGCTCAGACAACCGCCTATTCTTAGCAAACACTAACTTTAGGCATAAGGAAAAGCATCTGTTGACCTGGCGACCCCCGAAGTCGTCTCAACGTTGGACCCAACTAGATCACATCGCCATCAGCCACCGATGGAGGGGTTCGATAGAAGACTGTCGCTCGTTCTGGAGCACATGTCTAGATTCAGATCATGCACTAATGCGAGCTCGTATTTGTTTGAAGCTTACTGGGCGTAGGAAAGACACCGTAAGAAAGCCTCTTAGGGTTTTACTTAATGATAATAAGGTGAAAAATATATTTCAGGAACAACTAGAAAGACAGTTGGGCGACCATTTAAGCGATTCGCATCCGGAAGCAGGATGGAATGATATCAAAAAGGCTGTGGAAACAGCAGTGATATCTGCTAGTAAGGTTGACCATAAGGTTAGGAAGAGACCGTGGATCTCAGTAGCATCCACTGATCTGATGGATGCTCGAAAACGCATCCCACCAGGCTCTGAACATGATGAAGAGCGTAGTCAGCTTAGGCGCAGACTTATAAAAAGCCTACGTAACGATCGCGAACAGTGGTGGGTGAGGAAAGCAAAATCGATGGAAAAGGCAGCGGCGATAGGCAACAGCAGACAACTTTTCAGACTTATCAAGGAAACTGGTATTAGGAATCCTAGTGTAAGTGCGACTATCTCAGAAAATGACGGGACTATCATTTATTCTCAATCCAGGAGACTGGATCGATGGGCAGAACACTTTAGGGATCAGTTTAACTGGCCTCGAGCCACTCTTCGGTTACCCACGATCTCCAGTCATCCTGAATGGTAAATCGACGTAAGTCCGCCTAGTCTTATTGAAGTTGAGAAAGCGTTAGGAAATCTGAAGCGAGGGCGAGCTGCGGGTCCTGATAGACTGACGCCTGAGATATTTAAGGATAGTTGTCCAGTTTTAGCAGCTAGGTTGACCGAGATCTTAAGTAGAATCTGGGAACTGGACGTAATCCCATCCGACTGGTCTGAATCACTGATTGTCCCAATCTATAAGAAAGGACAAAAGTCTTCTTGTGACAGTCACAGGGGAATAAGTCTAACTAATATAGTATCTAAAATATTGGCCTCAATAATACTTCGGCGCCTAAGGAAAGCTCGTGAAGAGCAGACTAGAGAAAACCAGGCTGGTTTTCGACCTAGACGTGGTTGTATAGACCACATCTTCACACGACGACAGGTCCTGGAACACAGACACACATTTAGGCGTCCTACAATAGTTGTTTTCCTGGACCTGAAAGCGGCATTCGACTCAGTGGACCGTGAGGTTCTTTGGCAGTGTCTGTCATTGAAAGGTGTACCAAATAAGTACATTAACCTCATACAAGCTCTCTACTCGAACACCACTGGTCGAGTGAGAACTTATGGCGAACTGTCACCGGAATTCTTTACTTCAAGTGGTGTCCGTCAGGGATGTCCACTTTCTCCATTCTTGTTTAATTTTATCATAGACATGCTCCTTGAAATAACCTTATCCTCATCTGAATTCTCAGGAGTAGACCTTTTACCTGCTGGCTCGCTTATTGACTTAGAATATGCCGATGACATTGTCCTACTTGGTGAAGACGCTGACAAAATGCAGTCGTTTGACTACCCCAAGCAACAATGCAAGCATGTTCGGGATGCGGTTTCCCCCCTCGAAATGCAAAATGTTGTTTCAAGACTGGGTTTCATCGGCACCTGAACTAGTGATAGGGAGTGAAGTAGACGAACGTGTAGACCGCTTCACTTATCTTGGGAGTCTCATCAGGGCCGATGGCTTGGTGACTGACGAAATCTCAGCACGGATACAGAAGTCTAGATTGGCTTTTGCCAACCTGCGTCACTTATGGAGCAGGCGAGATATCCGTTTGCTGACTAAGGGTCGAGTGTACTGTGCAGTGGTTCGCTCCGTCTTTCTTTATGGCAGTGAAACATGGCCACTGAGAGTGGAAGATATTCGTAGGTTACTGATTTTCGATTATAGGTGTCTTCGAAGCATTGCTCGTATACCGTGGGACACCCGAGTGAGCAACGCTGTTATTAGGAATCGGGTGCTAGGTAAGAATGGCAGATCAATAGATGAACTATTGAGACTTCATCAGTTGAGGTGGTTGGGACATGTGTTGCGTATGCCTAACCACCGACTGCCTCGACGAGCTTTGTTTTGTAGTGTAGGAATAGGTTGGAAGAAAGTTAGGGGCGGCCAAACCAAAACAAGGCAGAAATCAATGAAGTCATTGACGAGTGGACTTAGCCATGTAGGTCATTGTCGACTACCTGGTTGGGGTCCGCGAGATGATAATAATCGATGGTTAGAGACCTTGAATGACTTGGTACAAAATCGTTCGCCTTGGCGCCGGTGCATTCATTCTCTGTGTTCTGTCAAATCCTAATCTTCTGAATTCTTCAACCCCTCTACTTTTGACTTTCTAAACTTTTCTCACTGAATCATACTTCTTGAATAATATCTTCTAATCCTCACCTCTCCGATTACTTCTAATAATCTTACTACCTCTTCTACTATTGGATTTGAATTGACAATTACATCTGTGTGCTGATGTGGCATGGCGACATGAACTGATGTACTTACGTACGAAGTTCTACGTTGCATGTGACTGACTGACTGACTTAATTAGCGGTATCGCTAGTGCAAATACAGTTTATTCCATCGAGTAAACCCCTTATTAACAACCCTCGTTTATGACGAACTGGGTACTAAACTTAGGTATCGCCCTGTTCATGTCGGCTTTCTGTGTATAGGAAGTTTGATCCAGCCATCGTCCTCCTCTAGTTCGTGTGCATCTAAGATTACGAATTGGTAATTCATATCCTTTCCATTTGATCGGAGTACGTTTTTTAATTAGTAGTTCATACTTTTGCGTTTACCATCTTTTCAACTAAGTTTAGAGTTGAGTTTTCGGTATATGCCACAAAGACATCACAAAGGTCATAAAGGTTAACTTATAGCTATACCATCCTGCTGTCGAAACTACTCGCCCTCAAAAATGAACTGCACAATGTCAGTACTTACGTCTGTTACTTCATGTGGAGCATAGGCTCCAACCAGTGCATGGTAATAAATCTTCAGAACTTGTTAGAGTTAATTCCGATGGTAAAATATGTCAAAGAGATTCAGTTATAATAATATAGAAAGTTTAAATCAAAAGAAAACATTGTCTTCTCAATATGAATGTCGATTTAGTAATCAATCAATCCAGGTGAATCAAAGAATGCTTACACAACTAGTTTCATATATTAATTTAGTAACAAGTAAATGTGCGGTCATGGTGTTTGAAGTCTTTTCCACTGTCATGGAGTTCTAATAAACTTTGTCTTCTCATCATACTATCCGAATTTACTAAAAGGACTAATTGTTTAAAATTTTTAATCGTTTGCTACTCAGTCTTTTCAATAATATTTCCATAAGCACATCCATTTATTTGTCTGTTTGGTAACCCTTGATTTGTAGCGTGATGTCACTCGTCTTTTGGGTATATATTGTCCGGAAATCGATTCAACCCAACCACCAGAGAACACTGCTGTTAGGCAACCATCTGTTACTAGCCGTCGTAGAAACAAAAAAATAGAGACTCTTGGTAGATCCCATCTTTCTGGAGAAAATGAAGTGCCGATTATAGAAGCCAAACAGTCAAGTTCCGCAGAAAATAAGAATCTCGTTGAAGAGGCTAAGACTGCATGTGAGGCTAAGAATTTTAACAGTTCACTCATGTCTTATTATTTAACTGAAATTGATAATATTTTTGTGGATGCATTACCTAAAATTGGGTTTCCTCGATGATTAAATATTAACTCAACTACTGTTGTGCTCGTTATCCCTCGTAGAGCCATAGTCTACCGACCAAAGTTCTCCAACCAACTCTGTCCTGGGCTCAGCTTTCAAGTTATTCCCAACTTCTGTTCATTCTTTTCATACCTACCGTCAATCCCCAGTTCAATGTGTTGCTTAGTTTACCTATTTTCCTTTCATTTTGAGGATTTTATGTTAAGGCCTACCGTATGACGCAGTTTGTTGATTTCCGCAATGTATGTTCTATCCACCTACAGCGTTTTTTCTAATTTCTTCCTCAGCTGGAAGTTAGTTTATTCTCCGCTGCAATATGTTGTCGCTGATGGTGTTCCATGATATCTTCATACTCATTGTTTTTCATTCCGACCTTAAAGTCCAGGTTAGGATGATCAAGTGCTTTTTTCTACGATTGACTGTAGCTTCCCATAAAAGTGATATTTCTCGTCTTCGTTGCTATTTATTGTAATGCACTCCTTATAAACTCCTTTCACAATTTTGCGTACAATGGATTTCACTTATTCCAAGCACCATCCTCTTGTATCTTTTCATTTTCGCAGTAACTTGAATGTTTCTAGCAGTGTCCCACATTCTGTAAACATTACATATGCGTATATTAATTGTTCCTTTGGTTGTTGGAAGGAGCATAAGCTTTGTGACTTTCCAAGACACTCAGCTTTCACCATAAAACATCATAAATCTTCATGAAGACCCTTCTACTCATATGAATTTTTGTGGCTGGCGTTGTTTGTCAAGATTGTTTTCTACGGAATTGGTTTGCTAACCCCATCTATAACCCTATTTTATCCGGTCTAGGGATTTCAGTAACCCTATATATATACAATACGTAGCTCCACGGAATTGCATCTGCGTTGGGACCCGGGAGTGTTTTCAAAGGTCCACTACGAAGTCCAAATATGTACCGGAAATCTGCCTGGCCGTTTCTGGTTGTTCAGGACTATTAGACCACCAACTTTTCAAAAATCCCTAGTAACTTATGTGTGAAGTTTTATTTCTCCATTTTTTCCATCAGTGAGTTGCCACACCTTAACAAACATATCCACAAACTAACACACCTGTTTCTGTATACTTTGTCGTTGGCTTAAAACCACTTTAAAAATCTATTTGTACCACAAATTTTTATTTCTAACATTGGTCCTAAATAAACCTCACTTGAAAAAGCTTATTTTGTCATGAAAATCTAGTTCTAAATACTGCTTCTTCCTACTGTAGTAATTGCTTAACTTTCTTCTTTTTTACAGCTTCCCCAATTCGTTTAAATATTCAGAAAAATGATGATCTGTCTTTTTACAATCTTATCCAAATTGGTTCAGGGGCGATTTGGTCACGTAATACAGCACAGAATTTTATACATAACTTATGATATGGAATGTAAATAAATCACTTATATTCTTCTCTTTTATTTGTTTCACTTCACCAGATTTATAGTTAATGTAAACAGAGCATAAAACGTCCTGTTTAGTTAATACTGACTCTGCAATCCTACTTTGTAAGGTATGCAATAAATCGCGACCAATCAATCAAAAAGAAACTGGTTATGTATAATTATTGGGATAATGTCTAAACTAAAATAACCAGTTTTTTGATAAGTAATGAATGTGCTGTGCCGTTATTATTTTGTATGCGCGGGACAGTGTTTTAAAGTCTACTACAATTCAGATTCTAACTACATCGGGGGTACTTTCTAGTATTTTGTATAGATATGAGAATTTTTTATACGTAATGGAACAAGGCCTGGTGTGTGACCAAATCGGCACGGATACACAAAGCTCAAATAGCTTGCGTCATTTATGGCGTAGGAGAGATATCCTTCTACTAGTCGAAGGACGAGTCTACTGTACAGCAGTTCGGTCCGTCCTACTATACTGGTGTAGAACATAGTTTATAGGAATAGAGGATATTCGTATGGTATTAGTATTTGATCATCAGTGTTTTATAAGTATTGGTTGTATATCGTAGGACCATCGAGTAAGCAATGCTGTTGTTAGGAAAAGAGTACTAGTTAGGGACGGCAGATCAATCGCTTAAACTGTGAGTAGCTAACTATGTTCATTAAGTAATCATGAGCTACCGCTTGTCAATGTGAAGTCATGTGTTATGAAATGTGTCAGATTTATAAAGTAATTTTATGGAGTACATATTTTTAACGTGAGCAATAACAGTTAAAATGCAGAGTTTCGCACGTACGTACATCAGTTCAAGTTGCCACACCACATTGGCACACAGAGATCGAATTATCAATTGAAATCCCATAGTAGTTGAGGTAGTAGAAATATTAGCGGTAATGGAGAAGATTAGGATTCGAAATAATGATTCGAGAAGTATAATCTAGCAAAGTAAATTTAAAAAGGAAGACAACAGTCAAGAAGAAGGCAGAAGAACGAAATTTGAGAGAAGACAAACGGTTTTGAGTCATTTCATCCAAAGTCTCCAACCATCGGTTACGATTGTCTCGCGGACCCCAACCAGGTAGTCTGCATCTACCAACAAGGCTCAGTCCACTTGTCACTGACTCCATGGATTTGTGTTATTTATTGCTTTGCTCGCCCCTATTTTCACTGTCGCGCGTCATGATTGATATTGGGCCGTAGGAAAATATTAGTGCTTAATTTTCTGTTCGGTTTTTTCCATTGGCGAAGTGTTTACATTCTGTTTAAAATAGAGCGTTCTTCAGCTCTGAGCACTATTGTATGCTGGTTACGTAGAATCGTTATATATCTTATATATGACTGAAATGGTTTCCAGCCATCTCTTTTCTGTCAATTAAACTATGTTGAGGCTGTTCAAAATTTGGTCTCATCATGAACAAGTCTCTGCCTTTCAGCAATGACAATCAATTATTTGTCATGAGTGATAAAAGTCCTACTATTTATTCTGCCTAGCTTTTTTTGTTTAGAATGTTTTTAATATACTTAAGTTACTGGAGTTTTTTGACGGATGAGAAGTTCACGAGCCTCATGGTAGACAACATGTTGCAAAGTATTATCATTAGTTTTGGTGCTTTTATCAATATAAATGTGACGAGCTACCATATTAGGCCTAAAGTAAACGTGATGATTTGCATATGGCAATTTTCTAATTCTTTGAATATTAAATCAGGGATTTTAAAGAATTATTTTTTATTTCAACCCTCCAAGTTTTGTGATCTGTGTTCCTCTGATCTCACATGTTCAACCGTGCCATATTGCACGTCTCAAGCTAGCTTGTATTGTTGATAAACTGAAGATAAGTAAATCAATGCACCGTCGTTCTTGAATGTTAGAATATGGTTTCAAGTTGATGATAGTCACTTGCCAATGGGCACAAAGCTGTTTAGTCGTTTGCAGTTTGAAAGACTACTGAGAATTATGTATAAGAAACTGCCATACTATGTTAATTATTTCTATGTTTCTTACAATAATATCCTGAAGTCGAAATTCACTTGGTGAACAAGTGAACAATTAATGCAGATCAGAATATCACTTGAACATACCCATCTTTCATGAAGAAATTTAGATTGCTTAAGATTTTGTTCATCAAGTAAAAAGGTTGGCAAAATTTTCTAATCTGTAGTATTTTGCATTCTATATTCTGTTAGTGAATCTCACCAAGTCATCTAGACAGTTACCTCTAATTCTTCTAATGTCTTACATCGAAGATTTTACTTCTTAAATATACCATTGATTCCGGGCCGAAACACTTCTTAGGCGTCGAATCGCACAAAGATGTTAAAATGATACTAATTAATAGATTACTAGGAAGGAATGTATTTTGTCGGTTTCATTTCTGAAGTTAACTCATCGAATATCTCTTTCTCAGAAAACATATTTCCCAGTAACTGTCAATGAAAACTTCTGAACTCTAGAATCGTTCTTTATTGCTAAAATCTTAAGGAAAATCAATAGAACCTACTAACGTGATTTTCTTCGTTATATTTGTGGTATATTTTGCAATAATTCCCTTCAGTAAGTAATAATTGTTTTCAGGAAGGATAGAGCAATATTTTATCTAAATAACAGTCTAGTGGTTATGACAACATTCATAATAATAACAACAGCAATAATACTAAAGAGAATGACGTTTATGAAAATGCAGGAAATTCACTTTAATACAATTCTTAAAATGTTAGGTTGTTTCCTCTTGACATAGAAAAGGGAGACAGTTACAGAGACAAATCGTAGTAAAATAAACATAGCTATCCGTCTCAGGAAGTAGATAAAATCAGGCATAAACGAGGGGGGAGGGAAAGAAATGTCTTTGTTACTCCTACTTTTCCCTAGTCCTTCTCAATTTCTTATCTAGTCCACCGGAAAACACCTCATTATCATTTATAACGTTAATGCTTACCACCTTCACTATTGTTATTGTTGTTTCAGTGTATACGATCAATTGGTGATTGACATTTGAGATTAATTCAAATATGTACCTTATATGATTGGAAATTTATTTTAACATAAATCTGAATAGAAAATATATTTAGCTATCACATTTTCGACAACATAACCAAACTTTATTATGTGACTACATCAACAAAAGGTTAGATATTAACTAGTGAGTTATTTGTTGAAGCAAATACTAATAATTAACAAATAAGCAGGAGTAGAATAAACGATGAAACAATAGCATTCATGCGTGCTGATAATTTAGTTCTTTGTGCGTTTCTCTTAGAGTTGTGGTGTTTCCGGTAGATTAATAGTTTAAGCAATATGTTCACTTTTAAAATTACCGTGTTTCTACTAACTGGGTTTTGTTTAATATCCCTAAAAAAAAGAGAATAATATCTGAAACTAGCTCTGAACATTATAAAAGTTATGCAAATAAAAGATCTTTTCATCTTCCCCAGTGTTAAAAGTTCTGGAACGAAGGCCAGTGAATTATTTAAAATCACCAACAATAAATGTATTATCAAATTTAAGCATTTTTCCAGCGACAAATCTACTCAACATTAACTGAACTTTAACACTTATTTAGAAAAGGTAGTTTCGATGGAACATTTAAGGCAGAACCGTCCATTTCCGAAGGCAACAATCCAGTTCAAAATAAAGTTATATATACAAGAATTAATTACTGTATGACTTATAGGTGTATGACGCAGTGTGAATCTTGTGTGCGTCAACAACTAATCAACGGTTATTAGAAAAAAAGCATGTTGATAGCTTCATTCATGAAACTATACTGTGTGGTAGAGCACAATGTAATGTCTTGTTTTTCTAATATTGAGAGGTTTGAACTTATTAGTAAATAAAATTCAACTAGTTGATTTCCTGGAGTGTAGCTTCGAGACGTTCAATGTTCGAAATTCGCTTTCATTAATGCCCATGTGTGAACTAATTTTTGAAGATAATTTTATTCATTAATGTCAAATTTTCGAACTCCATTTCTTAAGCGTAAAACTTAAAGTATAATGGAAATAACTTGAAGCTGCTTATGTGGAAATAAATCTCTTGATTTTTTTGAACACAAAGATAAAAACACTACATTTCCGCAAAATGAGTGAGGTTTAATAATTACTCTAGACAATTATACTAACTCATTGGTTTAATACTTTTATGTTGCTTCAGTTTCTAATACTTGAAATCAGTGTTTCAGTCTTCAATCAGATACAATCTATCTATGTTAATGAAATGGCATATTGTGATTGGGATAGATTAGTGAACTAGCTAGAAACTGGTTAGCCCTAATATCAGTGTCCAATCTTGAAATCTTCCAAGGTTATGACTAGTAAGTTGAACGTGTTTGAAAATGAATAAAATATGGTTCTGAGACTGGTCTCTGTGACCATTGAATCCATGTGTTCAGATAGAGACAGAAACTATAATGAAGTATTTCATCTGTTGTCCTGAAAAATAGAATATTAATACATCGTCTTTTGTGTTTCTTATGAGGTAACTCGTTTGGCGTGTATATAACTTTTTAGTTGATTTCGTTATGATGTTTGTTTCATTATTTTACTTTAAGAAATATGAACCCAAGTTTCTATTCGGGATATCATGATGAATAAGACACTATTTTTATTGGACATATTTTTTTCAGATTTCGCTAACCTTAAATAAACTTATTTCGAATGTGAAATTTTCCGTTTTTTAATCTACTATAAAAAGATTTCATTCCTGTTAATTATAGGCCGACGTTTTTTAATAACATATTAACTCATGATTTCATACATTAATTCACTAGAAAATAGTGAATAAATATGAATGATCATAAAATTGTAATTACTCGGAAAGAGATCAAATGTAAACGCAAATACGAATTTGAAGTATGGTCAAACGTAGCCTATTACTAAGTGTGTTATTAAGGAAGTCATTAATTCAAGTTTTATCTAGTGATTAAGAGGACAACGGAATGACTAGGATGGGGTTTAACACTTACCGATCTTTTCGTCTTCATGTGGCATATAAAAGAATCAAATACAGAATATATTTGTAGCTTATATCACTGATTGACACTTGGAAGACAACCATTGGAAGCCAGAGTGTGTTGTTCAATAGAGGGCAAATACATCACATCATGACTCGAGCCCAAGAAAACTTTTACACTAGTACGGAACCGCCATGCAGCGTAGTTTGGTTTACAAGCTTTGACTTTTAGACCATTCTTGACCTAGACTATCATGCGATTTAACGATCCCTACAATCAGTTACAACATAGAAATTCGTACTTACGTGCATCAGTTTAGGCTGCCAAATCACATTAGCACAGAAACACAACTGTCAGTTCAAACCCCATAGTAGTACAGATAGTATGAGTATTAGCAGTTATGGAGAAGACGAGGGTTCTAAGGTGTTATTCAAGAAGTAGCATTCAGTGAAATAAATTTAAAAAGAGAAATAAAGCGGTGATGAGGAGTTAACAAGACTAGAATTATAGAGAATACAAAGAGTGGATGCACCTGCGCCATTGCAAACGATTTTGAGCCATGTCGTTCAAGGTCTGTAACCATCGGTTAGTATCGTCTCGCGGACCCCAACCAGGTAGTCGACAACTATCGACATGACTCAGTCCACTGGTCAGTGACTTAATGCGTTTCTGCCATGTTTTGGTTTGACCGCCCCTAACTTTCTTCCAACCTACTTATACACCATAAAACATAGCTCGTCGAGGCAGTCGGTGGTTGGTTAGACGTAACACATGTCCCAACCACCTCAACTGATGAAGTCTCAATACTTCATTTATTGATTTGCCATCCCTACCTCGTACTCGTTTCCTAATGTCATTATTGCTTACTCGGTTGCCCCAGGATACACTAGCAATACTTCGAAGACATCTATGATCGAATAATAACAACCTACGAATATCTTCTACTTTTACCGACCATGTTTCGCATCCACATAGTAGAATGGAGCGAACTGCTGCGCAGTAGACTGGTACTTTGGTTAGTAGACGGATATCTCTCATACCCCATAAGTGATGAAGGTTGGCAAAAGCCAATCGAGAGTTGCGTATCTGTGCTGAGATTTCGTCAGACACCAAGCCATCAGCACTGATAAGACTCCCGAGTAAGTGAAGCGATCAACACGCTCAACTGCTTCACTCCTTATCGCTAGTTCAGGTGTCGATACAAACCAATCCTGGGCCAACATTTCGCATTTCAGAGGGAAAAACCGCATACTGAACATGCATCGTCAGAAGACAGCATTTTGTCAGCGTCTTCAACATGCAGAACTATGACATCGGCATATCCTAAGTCGACAAGCGATTTTCCTGGTAGAAGATTCACTCCTGAAAAGTCAGACGTTGATGAAGTTAGCTCTGAGAGCATGTCTACGATAAAGTTATACAGGAATGGAGAGAGAAAATAGCCCTGACGGACACCATTTGGAGTAAACATTTCGGATAACATTTTGCCATAAGCTGTCACTTGACCAGTGGTGCTAGAGTAGAGAGCTTGTACAAAGTTAAAGTACTTCTTTGATATATGCTGTCTATAATAACTTTGTATATGTGTTTATCTTGGATATCAAGTACATTTATAATACCCAAGTAAAGCCTTTCCCGTGAATTTGTAGGTTTGGCTTGAAGCAAAATAAATCTAAGATTGAAAATTCTGAATTAACTCAAAAGGCTTTCTTTTGGTTGTACGCCTGGCTAACCGTGTTCTTCAAATATCACTAGAGCTTCTGCAATGCGTACGTTGGGCTTGTGATATGTTTTCAAACAGGAGAAATAAATTGAAAGGATTAGTTTTCCGAATTTCAATCACTTATTAGAGATTATAATAAATTTTAAGTTTTTTGAATTTCATTCGGAACATTTATATTCAATCATACAAAAGGCTAAAGCCCCAAATACTATTTCACGTGTAAACATTCAGTTTGCTGAAAGATAAGATGAAGTATCATTAATAAATCTAGCATGAAATAATCCACCGTTTATTAGCAAGACGGTGTGTAGATAGTATGACACTTACTTTCTACACAAATTCTTTACCCATTGTTATGTAGTTATAACCCACATAGATTCTCGTATTCCAACATAGTCAGGCACGATAGATATAAAAGCTGTTTTATTATAATTAACATTTCAATTCCAGAGTCTAGTAATATTTTAGTGACTGTAAAATGTTGATCCACAGAACGCTATTGCAGATTTTACTGTTCATCAGTTGCTAATGTTTACTTTAATGGAGTAGACTCATATATATATATATATATATATATATATATATATATATATATATATATATATATATGCTAGTCTCACTACTCCAGAAGTGATATTTGTCAAACCTCTGATATGATTGCTGAATCATTTTTCAACAAATCGAGGAAGATTAATTTATGCCTCTATAAACAATTAATCAAAGTATATTTGTATGAAGTAATTTATTTTACTACAGTAACATAATCGGTTAGTTGTATGGTAGAGTTTGTTTATTTTTTATTTTTAAAGATTCTCACATTTATCGTTATCAATCCGATTTAGAGTCAGTCGTTCTAAACTACCCAAAATTCTATTCTGATCAACGTTAAATTGATCTAAAAGTGAATTTATCAACTGAATTATTCATTACTTAAAAATCTTGGTAGATACATTCCTGTTGTAAAATATATCGGGTTATATTTTCATCGGTTCACAGAGTGTATTGTTAAGTTGTTTCCAGGGTACATGAAAATAGAAAGAAAATGGTCATTTCTATAAGCTCAATATATTATACCTGGTCACATGTAAGCACTTATAAAAAAAGTACCATGTAAGTAGACATTCAGCTACATGAAAATGTAATTTCAGTGAATTTCTCAAAATCCACATACAATAACATACACTGATCAAGTTATTTGGATGAAAAGTACTCCACTTATTCAAAGTGTTGAACGATTCATTTCCATACAGACAGTGAAGCAATCACATTTAGTTGTAACATTCTGCCCTTGATAAGCGTTCGATCTGGAACCAATCATAATGCACAAAGAAAGTAACCAATAGGATTATAAATTGTTTTATGAGATTTTCTTGAATAAATTCTGAAACGTTTCTGCGACATTTTATCAAAAACAAATCAAATGGAATATTTGTGGAGAAAATAAGAATTTTATTTGTAGTCTGGACAAAGAGTTGGCATGTTCGCTATTATTGTATTATGTTTAGGTAAGATTCAGTTCTATGCAAATTTTTTGATATTCGTGTTTTGTCATGATCTTCAACTTAGATCATAGTAGAACAAAAAATCATTTACAGACCAGGAGAACTGAGCAGTTGTTTTGTGTAAGTTTAGGACTGAGTCACAATGAGAATACTTAATCATACACAATATGGTATTTAGGATCTTCAGGTTTCGTTACTATCTCAGTTTCACTTTGTCGCTGTGTTAGTATTAGCCATAGTGTATTTCATAACTTTGATCGGTCCACAAAATTAATCTTTTTATGCAAAACATCAGTCTGCAGTTATCTCTACATTCATTCATATTATGATGGTTGTAGGAGTTCTATTTGTGCTATCATCACTGACTACAATATTTTATATACGGAGATTGTAGTTAAAACGTTCCTTCACATAAGCAGTTTATGTATATTGCTTTTTATCTACTAATCCCAATAGTAATACTCTTTGCTAGGGAAATAATTCCGTCATTACTAGATAGAGTTATATACTGTTTTATCATAAATTTATTCTTGTTAAGATCTACCGAATATGTTTTCTGTTTAGCTTGAGCTGTCTTCTAAGTTCCTACAGTACTGTAAGTTTTGTCTTGTGATGCGATTCTCAGACTGGTATTATAGAGTGAATTCGGAAATTTTCTATTTATCTCAAACAGCTCTTACGTGGTGATAATAACTGCCAGAGAATTTCATTTCCATAGATTTATTTGGGAAGGATATTTTATTAAGTGTACATTTGTCTGGTAATTCATTTGTGAGTAACTGTAACAGAATGAATAAAGTGATTAAATAAGTCCACGAGATTGTGCCAGAAACGTTTTAAGTGACCAGTCAATAATCTTAGGGATTGATTTTTCTCTGTTTAAATCTTTACTTTGCAAAGTTATTGGGTAACAATGAGATCTGCAGACAGAGGAATAAATGCAAACAAACATTAATATAATCATCAGTCTTTTGGTTAACAGTTTGGTTGAAGAGCACCTAGATTGCAACGCTGAAGGAGTTTCAGAGTGAAAAAGTAACTAGGGTTTATTTCAGTTGTATGTAACTGCAAAAATGCAAACGCAGTCTAATTAGCAGGCTTTTTATCTGCGTTTTCAAAAACCAAATAATCATAATATCAATATAAGAACCACTGAAAACTTGACGATTTGATCAAATTAATAACGGATCAGTTTTATTTATCATACCATTATGGTTTTGAAGAAATGGGTACTTATATGATGACATGAAATAATGTCATAATCTAGTCTTTATTATTACTAAAGCCTACAGCAACACTGGGTAGTTTGTGGTGGTGTTTTCAGGGGACCCTGGAACTTCGACCTACAACTTATCGAGAGAAATTTCAAGGATATTAAAACATCTGGTGGATGAATCCAACTATTCCATTTAGTCTCAAACACAATTCTTGGATAAACTAAAAGGGATTCAAATCAACAATGACGAAACGATGATATCCTTCAATGTAGCAGCCTGATTCTTCTCAATAGAGCCAAGCTTATCTAAAGAAACTCTTTCCCTGCTTCTTATCAACGACACAAATCTGCAAAATACACGAAACCTCAGAGCCAAACTCTGCTAGAACTCATCGATCTATGCTTAACAACGTTTTTTCAAATCAACCAAAGAGTCGACGAGCAAACAAAAGGAATACCAGTAGGATCATCAGCATCAGGAACGAGCCAGAGAACATCTGCGATCGGATTAACAAAGTCTTCGGTGACAAAATTCACCATGGAGAAGGAATCAAACAGCAGTCTATCATTCCTGGACATACTAATCACCAGAACTAACACAGGAAAACTGGAAACTCAAGTATTTCGGAAGCCAACCAACACAGACGTAATTCTCAACTACGATAGTAACAATACAAGAACCCACAAAGTCAACTGCATACAAACTTTGTTCGAGAGGGCGAAGACACACTGCAGCACATATGAAGCACTAAAAAACGAGGAAAAGCATCTTATGACTATCTTCCAAAAGAACAGCTATCCACGCAACTTCATCAAAAAGCATCAACTGAAATCGTCAACAGAAGAGAAAGCAAGTATGGAAACCAATAAACGGATCATCCTACCATACATAAAAGACATATCGGAACATACAGCACGACTACTGAAACCATTTGGAATAGGTGTGGCACACAAACCAACAGAATCACTTCAATCAATCCTATGTAGACCAAAGGACAAAATGACAAAAGAAGAAAAACCAAATATCATCTACAAAATAAATTGCTCAGACTGTGAAAAACACTACATAGGACAAAGTGGACGCCAATTCAGGTTCGTTTGCGTGAACGCCAATTAGCAGTTAAACGCCACGACAATTCTTCGCTTATATCAATACACACCGACAATTATGGACACAATATGGAAATGCTGAATAGGGGGAGGACAAAGATCACTGGAGACATTGACCCAATCTATCAACCATTCAGAAAAATCATGGGTGACATAGGATAAAGAAACAGATCAAAAGAGGGATACAATCAGAACAAAAGTGCAAACAACGACAGTCTTAAGGTCAACAGCAAACAATCAAGATCGAGGCAAGCAGAACAAGCTACAGATCAAACGTGGAGAAATTCGAATGCTTCACTTCTATCTGACGTTTGTGCTGATGATGTTGTTCAGAAGAACAATGAAAGCTCCACAACCGAAACATCCAGCTCAGAGAATGAAACACTACGACAATTATTCACCTGAGCTACAAATTTTCTCCACCATCTCAAAATTAGGTAGTTCATATGAAATTTTTATCCCATTTAGCTGGGATTTATCAACTGGGACAGGAATACATTTTTCGAAACTAAGAATTAGAAAACACTAAGGGTTATGAAAATTTCGATAGTGTTGTGGTTATTTTAAAAGTACATAACTCTTTATTATGAAATAATGGGAAGTTTCTTCAAAATAAAAAAATAGCACAAAGTGAATTCACTAAATTTATTTTAATTTCACAGCCTAGTCACTGCTGTCACAATATCCAAGATCATATAGTTTACGGTGGACTTTATCTGTTTATAGTTCGGTCGTGGGAATATGGACTAGTTAATTAGTACAGAAGTGTGTCATGATATTATTAGTTAGTTCATGCTTGTATAGTGAAATACTAAAAACACAATTCTAATACGATGGTAGTTTAGTGAATATTATCGAGTCATCTTTCGTTTACTGTTCGTAATTAGCGTAATCTTTTCAACATGACAAATGATTACGTTTCTTTTACACTTTAGGCTTATTCAGTCCTATTCAAGATTTGTTAGCCAAAGAAGGTCAAGAAAACAATGGCTGGTCTATGATTATGGAAGTTGAAGTCGAAGATCCTACCCATAATTCTTCATTTTATGAAACTAATGGACAAAATAATTTAGTGAATAATTATAAGAACCAATATTTCCAGGAGAAGAACAATGAAACATTACCAGACCATGTTAATGCTCACTATTTGATGCCTGATGCAACCAGTTGTGGATCGTTTTTGTGCCATAACCAGGGACTATGCTATATTGATGTACATTCATCTTCTTCAAAATGCCTATGTTCACTTGGATATTCAGGTGATTTTTGTGACAAAGGTAATCGACAATTGATTAAAACAAACTTAAATTTGTAATTTCAAAACGTTTTCCTACCACATCCAACAACTTTTGAGCATTAGCACTGAATAGATTTGAAAGTAGTATGATTAATAAATCCATTTATTTATCAGTTAAACTGTCATATACTTTGTGAGAAACCAAGAAGTAAAAACTTTGATACTTTCACTAATGTTGAGTATCATTCTATGGATTTTCTTCGAGTCAAATGAAATAATCCTTTAATCTACTTATTATCATCAGGTGCTAAATAAGCGTTTCTTAACGAACAAATTTCTTACACATCAGAATAAACATCACTGACATAAATACACTTTTTTGTTTATTTCTGCATCGTTGTTCGTCGTAATACCTTTTACGAATGGACATTTACAAAATTAATCCAAGGGTAGAGTACATAGGTGATATGATGAGCAAGGACTTAATAGATTAGTGTGAATGACTAATATAGTCAATTTACTGCAATCATCTATGAGATGTAGGCACATCACAATGAAGGAGTAATATTATGACTCACTAAATTAGTCATATCTGTTGATAATAACCGTTTAATTTGATGATATTCTAATTGTCTGTTCACGTGATGAGTTAGAGATCAGTCAATGCTAAATACTACTCAGTTCAATTCATATATAGCCGACTGTAAAAAAGTCACATCAAAATTAGTGTATTTAAAAATAACTTTTGGTGCATAATAAATCTTCATTCATCATCTACGTAGTGCGTTTTCTGAGTGCAATTTGACGTTTTTAGTTGAAACAGTATATTAATGATAAAACAGAGTGGATTGTTTTATAATGAATGGTAAATTGTCTCTAAATTATCGTCACAAATTTGAAAATCATCATGTTATGCATTGTTATGATCGTAACATAATTAACAGACAGTTTATCGTATGCTATAATTTGTCTGTTTAATAACCAAAATGTATAGATTTTATCAAACGACTGTTAAGAAATATTTACCCATTTTTCTTATCCCTAGACTCATGATGAAAATGTATACATTAGATTCTATTCTGTGAAACAGGTTTTTTGTTGTAGATTACACTTCAGAGTAGCGGCAATCAACAGTTTATTGATAAAACTGTTGTTCTTTAGAATTCCGGAATGCCTATATTAGCCTGATATATTTTGCTTAAATTTTACAGAATATACTTGAGGAAATGATTACTTACTTACTTACTTCTGTTTCTGCTTATGGATTATAGGCATCCGACTAGCCTTCTCGGTCTTCTTCCTTTCATTTCTAGCCTACTGCCATTCATTCTCTTTACGTCTGCACTGTGTTCTTCGGTCTACGTTTTCTCCTTTAGCCTTAAGGGTTCTATATTAGGACTTGCTTCGTGATTCAGTTGGGGATGTGATGTATATCCTATCCACCTTCAGCGAATTTTCCTAATTACTTCCTCAGTTGGAATCTGGTCTATTCTCCCCCATGTTCAACAATTATTGATTGCTGTCTTCCTGTTCATCTCTTATTTAATCCTACCCAGAATATCAACAGAGATCCATTCCTTGTGACAGCGTTTCTTGTGGCAAAATACTTCATAACGTACCGAAGTTTTTGCTTCTTTTATCCCTTTTCAGTTGTTCTTCATTGTCGTTTCCTCTTCTTTAAGTAGATCGAGCAAGGCTTGGGACTTTTTGTTGAGAACTATTTCTAATTTGTTCATTTCGCCAGTATTTCGAAGAATGGCTGTGTTAAACTTTTGTAATGAGTATGTCTAGTTGTCCAGTGGTTCGTTAGTTTAACTTTCATCTCGGTCAACGAAAAATATTTATCTGAAGCTATCAGCTTCTTTCAAGGTTCTTACCTTTCCCATGATCGATTGAACCTTATTTTATGCAGAGTTGATCGAGTTGATTTTGTGCACTGTAGTCTGGTGAAATCCATGTGGCTTCGTGGGAATATGATGCAACCTATAGCCATTTCTTTAAGGTACATAGACTTGCAAATCTTCTACCGTTTTCGTTTTTTTCTGAGCCCATGTCGTCCCATGATGTATTCATGTCCAGAGTTGTCCATTCAGGCCTTGACATTCAAATTTCCCATCCAAATGGTCAGGTCAATAGACTAACCTCTGGTCAGTTTGATTTCTGTCATGTTCATTGTTTTCGTTGGTGGGTGTATAGTACTAAGCAACATTTATTGTAATCCCTTCTTCTTCGTCTTGAACGAGGCTTTGATGATTCTGAGTCCATGAGAATCCCTTATTAAAAGAGTATTTTGTGCTTCTCTGGACATCACATATGTAACTCTTTGCATATATGAGAAATTTTCTTATTCATGGTTAGAGTACAAAGCACTTCGATCCTGAAGCTAGTATTTGTTGTTCAACCTGCGTCCAATGTGTTCCACTGGTTACAAGCACCTACAGATTGTATATTTTCATTTCTGCAGCAATTTAGATCACTCTTCCGGTCTCCCACAATGTGCGAGCGTTTCGTGCACTTATTTTAATTGTTGCTCTGGTTTTCAGAAGAGACATCGATCTCGTGACTTCTGAAAAGGCCTGAAACCTCTTCTAAATGAAGACTTTACAACTCCCAGGGCAGATTTTGGATAGTTCAAGTTATTTTTTCTGGTTAGCATTTTTATGGAGAGTTGGTTTTCTGCGGAATAGGGTCGTTGATCCTATGCTGAATTCTCCTCCCTTATCTGAACTTTGGATCGACAATAACTCTAGAACAGCTCCAGGCGTAGTATTGAGGTAGTGGTCGTTAACTGATTAATTCAATAAAAGTTTAAAACTCATTAATAGGCCGACTAATGAACTACATTTATTATGATAATATTTCACTAAAATTAATTATCATCTGATTGTGAAACCTTTTCAAATAGAAGAAACGTTTTCCTGTATGTACGTTTGTTTAACAGTTTTATTCACGAATAAGAAATAATGCTAGTTGAAAATGATTGAAAATCCAAGTCTATTTAACAGTTGTTTTGCTTTATTCTGATTTCTCTTGGAATCTACTTTATTAAAGAAAACATTTCGCTGTAAGCTTCACTGCTTATTTAGATAGGCTCTTACTTAGGTCTCTTAAAAATAAGGTATGCTATATTCTAAGGTTTCATTTCTGCTTATTAATTTAAGTATATCGAAAGCTGTTGCCCATGTTTCCGCATAAAATTCTTGAATGTTTTCAATTAATTCCAGTTTTACTATTTTTCGAAAATTGTCAAGCTTCAAATCCTCCGTTTTCTATTCAACTGACCATTTCATAAATCATTTTTAAATTGTACGCATTTGAAAGTTATTTCATGCACTAGTCGTCTGTCATCTTACATTATCTCCGGAAATCATTTATTAAAAAAAAGAATGAAAGAAAGGATATATACAGTATATTTATCTATTTTTGTATTATTTTAGACTTCATAATGATTAATTGATTAATAATAATTAATGATAGTTTTATTTTAATAAGTGGCCTTTTATTTATTAGATGAATTGGTTAATTAATTTACAGAATATAATTTTATTTTACTGACTGTAAAATTCACTAATTGTATTGAAACTCGTAATCAGCAATTGAGATCTGAGATATTTAGGAGTGTTTTGATACGGTAAAACAACCGGTCATTATATCATTTCCAGTGCATATCATGAATGTGAGTCCAGCAATGTAATCAGTTCATTCTTCCACTTATCCGCATTCAGTGCTCGTTAAGGCTGATGACTTGCTTACATCTAGTTGTTTCTACCACGATCTTTTTATAACTAGCAAGTTATAGTGTTTCATTGTATAGGCCGATTTCCATGGATTAATTCAACTTCTGTATTAAAATTCATAACTACTTTACAGAACTTGGTATAGATTACATGTTTGATAAAGGTAAACACGTGAAATCATGAGCTTTTTCATAGTCATGTAAGTTTATTTAGGTACAGCTAACACATTCAGTTCACGTTAAATGTAGGGATATATTTCAGACATTTCTAGAATATATTCTAGTCAGAAGTCGACTAGTAATCCAAAAACTCTAACTTATTTTACTTTATACTGCAGTAGTGACTAATTATTGTTTAAGAGTTTCGCAAATTATTTCAGCTACTGAAGTTGATCATAGAAGCTTCTTCTAACTACTTCTCTTTTCGGCATTTTATAATTCTTCACAGTCAATGAAGGTTACCAGTTTCCTTATATTGAGCAAGGTGGTTATCTGAAATTTCATTTCAAAACGTCTGCACTATACAGTCGTATCAATCAAAGTTTCATGAATAGAGATCATGAAGTGTCAAGCAATAATACTCATACCTTCACAGTGGATTTTGAAATTCGACCAAATCTTACTGATGGAATTTATCTATTAGTATCTCATGATTCAAACAAAGGAGATTTTAAGTTTTCACTCAGTATTGAAAATGGATACGTAGTATACAGGTTAGTGAAGTATACTATTGTTATTGTTATACCACATTATCATTAATACAAAGTCTCGAAGACAATTGTTTACATCTCTATCGTTTAGATCAAGGATAATGATCGGCTTTTTTTTATGAAAATGTGTGAATAAATGAATGTGAATGAATGTGAGAAATAAAAAACGAATAGATAATTCAGTCTTCATACACTTCGAGAAATGATCATGTCGATATAATAAAAGCCTTTCGAAATATTCTATCTCTTATGAACAAACCTACAGTGTATATTTTCAAAAATCCTTTGATTTCAGATACTGACATATGATATTTGTCTTATGGTGAAGAGAAGAGTAAAGAAGTTACACCAAATGACCAGATATATACTTTTAGTAATTAGCTTTGACTTCACTCTTCAAAAGATCAAAATTGTCTTTTCATTTTGGAAAAAATGATTATGATTTATCGCTACAATTGAACTAACTTTTTCAGTTTAAATTGATTGACTTCCGTTACTAGTCTTCGATCATAGGTGTCTCCGAAGCATTGCTCGTGTAGTGTGAGACAACCGAGTAAGCAATGCTGTCGTTATGAAACGAGTTCTAGGTAGGAATGGCAAATCAGTAGATGAAGTATTGAAACTTCATCAGTTGAGGTGGTTGGGACATGTGTTACGTCTAACCAACCACCGACTGCCTCGACGAGCTATGTTTTATGGTGTATAAGTACGTTGGAAGAAAGTTAGGGGCGGTCAAACCAAAACATGGCAGAAACGCATTAAGTCACTGACAAGTGGACTGAGTCATGTTGGTAGATGTAGGCTATCTGGTTGGGGTCCGCGAGACGATACAAACCGATGGTTAGAGATCTTGAACGACATGGCTCAGAATCATTTGCAATGGCTCAGGTGCATCCATTCTTTGTGTGCTTTTTAATTCTAACCTTCTGAATTCTTCATAATCTCTACCTTTCTCCTTCTAAATTTATCTTACTGAATTATACTTCTCGAATCATATCTTTGCTCCCTAATCTTCTCCATTACTGCTAATACTTCTACTATCACTATCACTCTTGGATTTGAACTGACAGTTTCGTCTCTATGCTGATCTGTTATGGCAACCTGAACTGATGTACTTACGTACGAAGTTCTGCGTTTCATCTATCTATCATCATATATTTGATATCACTGATACGATTCCTGTTGGGTATATTTAAGATGAAACATCTTACTATTGAATTAGCAGTCTACTGCATAATTGACACTTGTTTCAGTCTTCCTTTTACTTCCAGATCATATACAAGTAAATTAAATTGTTGACTAAGTTGAAGGATATGGGTTCATTATTAATGCTGTTTGTCTCGTTTACGCATTTAAATCATGGTGATGCAGTTTTATGAAATTTATGGTTGATTGGTGACAAATATTTTGCAGTAATTCTAATCATTTGTTGGTGATAGATAAGCTCGCATGGAATTATTCACAGTGATTGTTGTATTCATGTTTTGATATGATTATTAATTTAACGTTAATAGATGAATTCATGATACAAACATCCTGATAAACTGTCTTTTATTAGGAAGGAACATAGTTGGAGTTTACAGAGACATAACATAGGAATTAGTACTATACTGCACAGTGTTTTTAATGTTAAAAAGAGAAATGTTTGCAGCAATAAAAGTAAGATTTTATCATACACATTTAAAGGTTTTCACGGTTCGTGGACAGACACAAATGTTCAGTTAACCAGTAACTAAAAAATGAGGAAAGCCCTTATGGAATAATGGGTCTAATTTCGACTTTGTTAATTTCAGTCGACGAATTTAAGAGATTCGCATATCATCAGTTTGGTCTGCAACCTTATAAAGCGTTCTCTGAATGGCACATATTAATTTACCAATACCGTGATTGACTTTTAGCTGTTATTTTCAATATTATTTAGAAATATTTTCCAATGCCCTAATTCTATTTCATAATAATTGGTTGTTAAAAATCTTGCAACGTTTTATGAAATAAAATATTAACGATTTGTACATTTTCAGTCAAAGTGTTGTATTAAGTTGCGCAAACAAGATGCCTGGTACAATTAATTCTGTTTCATATCAATCAAAATAACACCAGACAGTTTATTTCATTTGACTTCGTTTAGTTGTTCTTTAATAGGCACATTCACTTCCCATGATCATGTTGGCAAATCTTTGATAAATTGTTAACAGTAAAGATGATACCTTCATACATTTTCCGAGAAAGATTATCTTTCGTCAATTTTCTTCATCTTTTTAATTTAGATCTCTACGAATTTCTAAAACAAATTATGAACCATATTTTAAAGAGGAAATCCAGGAAGTTAAACATTTCTCATTTCTTAACAGTGAGCAGTGGTATTATATCTCCTTTGGGGAAACAGCTGATGGGAAGAGTTTTCTTAGTGTAGATGGAATTAAAGAAGATGCTGTTTATATGAAAATAAGTTTTTTGATATCATGCTTACATTATTTTCAAACTGCATATTGACCTTCGAATTTAATTTTGTGCGTAAAAATAATACTACTTTAGTGTATTTCAGTAGGCAAGTGCGTAAAATAAATATTGCTAGTACCGATATTCCCCGAAATCCCATAAATTATAGAGGCTTCCAGTAGTACACAAAGGAAAACACAAATTCAAATGATAGTTTCTTCAATCAAGGATAACAAGAAACTAATTTTATTGATAATCATAATTTGTTGATGTTGTCAACTAAACTTAATATTAGTAGAAGTCTATAAAGCTTAAAAAGATGTGTTCATTAACGTTCTACGCATGGTATAGAAGACCATTTCTATATTGTCAATAAATGTATTATTATGAATGTATGAAGCTTACAAGTGTCAGAAAGATAACATTAAGGTATAAAATTCTAAACCGATCTAAGAGCAACTGTACTGTGTATTAATATATGGAGCATACATGGCTTGTCCCAGACTTCCGATAAACTAACTAATCTATTGTTTTCGAGTTATTACTCACACATCTTTTGACCTCGTCCATTATTCACTTATACCCTCGGTTGTGTTTGAGTGAGTGGGTGGATTGGTTACTTCGCTTATTGCATGTCTAGCTTATGTTTGTCTGACTGGAAACACTAGTACTGTCTCATTGAATGGAGTTAGCCTATTCACCATCTCCTCTTAGCCTTGCTTCGCTTTTACTATCCTCGCTATTGTCTATCTGTTTATGTGAATGTATAAAGTAAATTCATCCAGAATAAACCATGTTCGACTACTAGACAAAAATGAAATTCAGTAAGCACCGGATGATCATTTCGTTTCTGGCACTGGACTCATCAATAGTGGGAACCCATCACTCCGCATGCGATCTCGCCATCGAACGTTTAACTTCTAGACCACTGAACCGCTATCCAACAATAGTGCTGTCTAACATCAATCAATCCAGAAAATTGCGCGATCAGTAGTCTAAAGGTTAAACGCTTGCGCGCGATACCGAAGGTTGTGGGTTCTTATTACTCACTCGGGGTGGTAGATTCGCACCATTGAGGAGTCCAATGTCAGGACAAAACGTCCATCTAATTCTTACCGGTTTTTAATAGTTGCCTTCCTTAGACCATTTCAGGATTCCAATGAGATTCAATAATCTCCAAAACACTTTACTTACAGTAAAATAATGAATCACGTTCATGATTCTTACTGCTTGTTATGAAGCATTTAATTTATGAAAATTACAGGTCATTCCATGGTCAGACGTTACACAATATGAAAAGTACTTGAAAAATGTCTACGATATGGAGTACAGCTACGTCTCCTTTGGTGGACATCCTGATTTAACTAAAACAGGAGGTCCAATCCATTTTCTTGGTTATACTTTTGAGAAAAGTTATAGTGGATGCATACAGAATATACGAATTAATGAAATTTCTATAGATCCCAGACGTAAGGCTTTTGTAGGAGATGCTGTGGATGGATATGGAATTAGTAAGTTAACCTGATATCATATTTTTTACCATTCAGTGTGTTAGTCTTTAAGACAGTAGTTTGATATGTCTAACGCTTACTAGACATTAATAAGGACTGACGAGATGAATGCCGTATATTTATTGAAGTATCTATGCTTACAGCTTCTTTATTTCATTTGATTTTAGCTAACTGTGGTTTCGGCTTATGTGAAAAGCTAAAATGCAAAAATAATGCCACATGTTTGCAAACTTCTGGTTCCAGTGTCATCTGTCAATGCCCTTTGGGAACTGCGGGTCAACAATGTGAAAGTAGTAAGTTTTACAAATGTTTTTAACAGTGATAGTAAAAACTTTAGATATCTTTTATTTTACTCATTCGAGTAAATGCTTATCTGGAAGATTTCAACAACGTTTAATTTTCTTTTTATATATTTAGAAGAAGGACTAACAGAAATATTTCTTCATCTATTTTAAATTCATTTTTTCATTCATTCATTAGATAATTTGAGTGAATTTATGAAGGCAAATATAGTAGCTTGTATTTGTCATTGAAAAGATGTAGATTATAGTTCAAGGATGTGTAAGGAAAAACGTTAGTAGTGCCTTGGGTCATCATGGCTTACTCAATGTCTAATTGGTAATCAATGATTTGCCCATCTAAAGTCGGTTTTTAATTTATTTTCTGTATTATAATTATGTTGGTAATATGATTAACTTCATAGAATAATGAAGTTTATGAGCTTAAATTTTTTCTATATTCTTTTTGTTATCTAACAGAAGTTGATCTAATCATGCCATCCTACAATGGATATTCGTATACCGAGTATATCGGTTTGAGTGGAACATCATCATCATTCACCACATTAGAACTTCATTTTAGACCATTAAAACCAGACGGACTGATTTTATATGAAGGTTATAGTCATGATAGGCGTGGAGATTTCTTGGCTATTATTTTAGTCCATGGATATGTTGTAGTGGCGTTTGATTTAGGTTCTGGTTCGGCATTTTTAAAGTAAGTTGTTTTGTATTTTCTAATGCATTTAATTGCTTCAAACTTAGAGGTTCACTAATAGATGTGGAAATAAGTGAACCCAACAGTCATCAGGTAATGATCAGCTAGCTACTCAGTTCCCTAGGGTTGACAGACATCACAATCACACCTTAGAGTGTGAATGCTAATGCGAGTTTATGTCAAAGAGATCGAGGGCTGGACATCATTTAGGTGTTGTGACTAAAGGTAATAATTAGTATTTTGAATGCTCTAACCAGTCTCTAACTTAAAGATCATGAGGGACTGTTTATTCGAGGAGTTTACATTAAGTCTAAATTAAAAGACACCTACTATTTGTTCCTGAATACCAAAGATCAAAGTAACCGGTGTAAGTTCCATGGATTATGATGTATGTTTTAGCCGTTCGTGGTTTTATATGTAACTTCCTGAAATGAGTGACTAAAGGGATAGGATTATGACTAGATTTTTCTTCAGTGATCTTCAGTTATCCTTTACGATTTGAAAGATAAACATGCAGTTGACTTTTTATGCGAATGATGATCTATTATGTAGGGATGTGTAGTACTCATAATCAACAATGCTAACTTTTTACGACTATCATTTAGAATAAACAGTTTGTTTAAATACTAGAAATACAAAATTTAGTGTAGCGATCCCCCTTCAATGAATTTTGTTTATTTCCAACAAAAAATTTTGAGGATATGATCCAAAATATAAAAACAATAGTGATATCGAAGTATGCGCTCCATATGGTCTAGTTGTATACTTTTCTTCCCCTCAATGTCTAAAAATATAACGTTCTGAGAAACAAATAGTCTTTGTTACTGCAAAGGTAATCACTAAACGAGTCCTTGACTTTATGTTCATTCTAAAAATAATAATGGTACAACCAATTATACAGTTCCTGAAATTGGTCATAATACTGGACCACTGGTTTGAGGAATGTAAAAGGGAAACAAGTGAACGACTGCCCACTGACTCCAGAGCAACTATGAATAATAACTGTAAATAACTTCACTGTTATTTAAAGAATTTATGGTCAGGTTATCCAGTCAGTCCTATGCATATATGAAATTTAAGTGCTGATTTGACATAGAAATATGAACAGTGAATACATATGACGATGTAATAGAAAATTTATAATACTACATTTACTATGTAGTGTGAATAATATCCTCAGTCAAGATATTCTCAATTTTCAATAAACTACTCTCTAGTCTTTTTGTTTAGAAATGATAAAGAAATAAAATTAAACGAATGGCATATCATACACTTCTGGCGAGTCGGTCGTGAAGGTTATCTCCAAGTCGATTCAGATGAGCGGATTATGACAAACTATTCACTTGGTTTACAAGTTCAGCTAACATTAACTTACTCATTATTTCTTGGTGGACATCCAAACTCTAATTTTATATCAACTCAAATAAAACCATTTATTGGACATTCAACAAATCTGAGTATTGGATTTCAAGGATGCATCAGTAAAGTATGTTATTAGGTTTGTGCATCTATTAGATAATACTTCTCAATTATATCGTGTTTTCGGATTACTAAATTTTCTGAAAAACTGAAGCAGCCGTTTTACTTTTTAGGTATGAAAATAGGATTTTCTACAAATAGTAGAATTATGCATTCACTTACGATTCTAGCTGATCATCGGAGCCTGAGAAATTTCAAGTTAAATCGTTTTGTCAACATTAAAGTTTGAGCACTGAATTCTGACGAGATTTAAATTCTATCAAAGCTTTGACTCATTCTTAAATGTGTGTTGATGGACACTTGAAATGCCTTTGGTTAATGAAGTCATTTTCAAATTTGTGTATCGATAACAGTTGATTGTGAACAAATCTACGAGGTGAAGCTTCTATTTGATAATACACAGTCCTCGTGAACTGTATTTCATTCTTCCGAAGCGATAAATAATTCTTATGACAAAGGATGATAGCTAATATGATGACAAAAGAAAGTTTAATGGAAATGTTTTTTTTGAGTGAAATCATTGATACTTCTGTTTACTTGAAGTCCATATTATGTGCATCTTATTCCGATGCTCAACTCCTAAACGAACTGTTGGAATGAAAAGAACGATAATATTCACAATTATTGGGTTTCATTAGTTCGAGTTATGCTTGTAAATAATATTTAAATTGTTTCTGTGGAAGTGGACATGTGACCTAAGGCTGAATTGGTGTAGTGAAAATGATGAAAAAACCGCACCAACATGCAAATAACATGCAGTCAACCATTTCATTTTACTTGTTGAAAATTGTCGGACAGTGTTTTAACGCATCTTAATAGAGTTGGGATTTAGTAAAAAATCTACTGAGTGTATAAACTTTTCAATTTCGCAATATGCGTAGATGTTTGCGGTGTTGTTCTATCGTTATCGTAGTTTTGAATCTTAGTCAAATTGGAGAACAGGAGGACGAAATCATATCTGTATCTTATCTCCATTGTGAATCTCAGTAACGGTAGAAACATATCGACAAATCCATAATTGAAATAATCGCAACTTAATGATTTTAATGAATACTTTGGAGAAAGTCTATTTCTTTTATTGGGGTTTCGTGTTATCGTACTGAGAAGACCAGCAATTTCAACTGTGTGACACTTTATTCAGTATTATTTCGTCCAGCCGTTATAGCAAACTATGGCTTCATGAATGAGTCAGCTGCTTGGTTGTGATTGGCTGATGACTGTAGCTTTTCTCTGCCCTACTTGAGTCCAGCCTATACTATGCTTATATTCCAAACAGATGTAGTTTATAGGCAAGTAGATCGGATCACACTACATCTTGAATAAAAAAACACGTTATACATGAACAAGCCGAAAATTGGCTGTGAATAGGACAGACGATAAATAATGAACAGACAGCAAAATTGAATTAGTTAGTGAGTTAAGCGAAAGACTGTGTGTGATAAAAGAAATATATGCAGTGATGATCTAGGTACTTGTTAATTAAAGATTAGGAATAGAGATAATATTGATCAACAACTTAGTCCTGCAGGTAACTATTTCTCCAATATTAGTTGATATAATATCTCCCACTTTTTAAAAGGATTCACTGGGTCTCCATATCAGTATTCAATACCTTTGAATCTTTGATCTCTTTTAAACAATATTCTATTAGATTGAAACAAATGGAATACTTATTGATCCTATTAAGAATGCGATAGGTGGTGTAAATGTTTTAAATTGTGCCGGACAAGAATGTGGATTTTCAAACCCTGTATGTTTAAACAACGGAAAATGTTTGCAAAACTCAAAAGGTTTTTCCTGTATATGCCCACTTGGATTCCAGGGAAAGAACTGTAAAGAAAGTAAGTAAATTTTAAATGTATCGCAGCGAATTTGTATACTATTGTCTGAAATTATTATTTATGTTAAGCTTTCATGTTCATCGTGAACATGACAAACCACTAAAAATTAATGTACCTGGAATAAAAACATCATTTCTTCATAACGAATAGGAAACATTCTTCTGATTTTGATTTTAACTACAGACTAATCAAGTAATCTTAAAATCACAGTATAAACTGACACAGAGATTTTGTTATATAACATTTAAAGATCTGTTTGCAGAGGTGTCCGTGGATTAACTTAGCGATAATTCCTATGCTTCGTTTATCACTAGTCCAGATAACTGTTATTACTTAGCTCTCAATAGTGTATAGGTTTCCGAAGACAGTAAGAAGCGTGTAGTACACTTTATCATCGTACAGCACAGATCAGGAAACAAGTGAGTCACCGAGCGATTTCGGCAGCCAAAATTCTTTTTCTAGTAATTGGGATATGCCTGTAGGTTGTAACACGTGGTCAAACACACATGCTCATACAAACATAGTAATAGTGATACAAAGATACCGGCACTGTCGAGTAAGTTAACTGGATGGCTTAACAAATTTGAACATATACTTAAGTGAAGTTAAGGTGATATAAGGTATACACAGTTTTCACGCATTGTTTGTTCTTTACTTACCTAGTTCATAAAGAGGATTTATTTTCACTTTTTTTTCAACCAAATAACATAAGAACATGAAATCATCGAGAAGAAATATAATGTCTATATTTTATTGGCATGGATTTCTTGAATTCGTTGAAGCAGAGAAGTCGTATTTAGAGTTGACGTTTTACATGTAGTCTATAACAAGTTATAGTTGTGTTACAAAACTAGTAAAGACGGTTAAACCTCTTCTCTGACACTAAACCATAGATTTCTATTGTGGCCCTAAAGATTAATTTAGAGGGTGCGATCGTAAATGTTAAACAAATGTAATAGGCTATTTCAATGTAATTAGTGTTTTCAAGTATTGAAAAGCGGAGTAATCAGGAATTTTCAAGAACTGGAGTTAAGCAATAGTATTAGGAGCAATTATAGATAATAATTTATAAAATAAAAATTAATGATAACTGGCTTCTTTGATAAATGAGGAGAAAAAGAAGGTGAAGAGTAAGACAATAATTAACACATACGATTTGTAACATCACACAAGGATGTTTAACATTTTCGATCACTTTTATCCTATCAAGGAAAGAATCTAAATGTGATAGAACTATAGAGTACTGTTCAGGAGCAAAAGATTTTTCGGGCTTACAAGAGATGTAAATGTAAAATTTAATTAATATTTGATAACATTATTTATTGAAATTATTTATCACACTTATTAAAAAGTTATTCACTCTGAAGTAGAGTCTATTGACTGCTTGGAAAGGCAGTGTGCACGTAGTTAATTGTAGCAGGAGTTGAATGATCTTCATATTAGCTGTTTCATGTAAAAGTATGAGTTTACTGTCGAGGATGAAGTGCTTCAGACATAATCTATCAGAGATTGTAGAAAATAATGCACTTTTCTAGTTATAATAACGATACTAGTTGTGCACACAATTTGTGTAAAATTGTCCTCCTTGAAAACGTTCATCAAAGTTGGATCCTCCCCATAGATATTCAAAGTTTTCATTTGTATTCTGCACCGTTTAGATTTCAGTACTTGAAAATTATCAAAGACTAATTTATAACCTGGAATCTTTTAAATATAAACTCACTGTCTAGTATGTTATTCAAAATGTGTTTAACCCTTAGGTGAGACACGATTCACATTAAAATTTGACTGACTCTTACTTTGAATGAATATTCCACGAACATAAATATTTCCTTTAACTCAGTATATTACCCCTCATCTGACTCTGTTTCAGGAATGGTTGTACCACGAAGCCGATTGAGGATTACGTTAGACGGATTTATTTCAGGCATTCGTTTACTCAAAGAGACATCATGATGAGAAGTAGGAAAGCGAAGTGTAGAAGGCAAGCTTACCAAATCCGCTTGATAAGGCTTAACTCACTAATAAAACAAGATAAGCTAAAATGTAAGTGATGCCCACATGCACGCCCAGACAGAAACAATCAAAGTTATAAGCCAAATAACGTAGTCAAAATTTGGCTCGAGAAGAATCAATCAATTGGTCTCTACAAAAGCTAGAGTAACCCGAGTGGGCTTGACATAGTACTAGATACTACAATGCTTATCATATTGGTTATAAAACCCATGTGGTTAAGTAGAAAAGCATAATATTTCATTAATTGCTTTTAGATCATATAATCACAACAGAGGGATTTGAGTTAATGGTAATTGAAACACGGTGATGACGTGTTTTAGATAATCTCATTGATATTATGAATAGTGTTAAAAATTAAGTAAGTAGAAATGTTATTTTACACAATCAAAGTAATCACGGGAAGAGAAGTCATCTCAGTTTCGATTTAAAATATAGATAGTAAGTAAAAAATTAGGCTGAAATGTGTCTTACGATGAAAGACTTTTTAACTGATTTCCCTCTTTCTTAACTAGTTCTCAAAACTCTCTTTATATTCGTTTGAAATAAAAGACATTAATTTTAATTATCTTAGACCTATCGACAAACCAGTGAGCATATTCAGTTTTAAATGACATTCCGGCTTAAATGAGTGTCCTACACAAGTGATTCAAGGTCATTGTGTAGTAATTCATATTTTCCAACTTCAGGCAATCGCTAATATCCTACATATCACTAATTAGGACCAATAAACACAGTTGATTTGATGATTTCACGTACAGATGAGACTTTAAATATCTGATGCGAAAAACTGAAAAAAAAGTTGCTGTATATATTCTGATTTTTAATGATGTTTCGTCCGACAATAATGAATGCTACAACCAATTATCTCTTAAGAATTAAAGACTCATTTGTATATTTAACATAATAGCTAACTGAGCATATAACATGTAATATTATGCACGTCTATATTTTTGGAAAATTGATGATCATTGTGAATGAGACAATTTAAGCCCCTGATGTGCTTATGAAAACAATTTTTGCTGTTAATCTTCATTGTTTACATAATACTCGCAATAAAACTGTCACATTACAAAAGTATTTTTCGCCTGTAACACCTAAAAGACCCTATGACTAGCTGAAAGTAATTAAGAATTTCATCAGATGAACGAAAATTTTCAGTACAATTTATACACATATCAAATGTAGCAGTCTACACGTATAGGTTATCTTCACCAATTCATTCATTCATTCGAAAAAGCAAGATTGCTTCATGCAGGAGAACCTTTGATTGCGTAACCATATTAAGGCTAAGATGTCTGTAAATTCTGCTTCACTGTTAAAGAAAGTAGCATTCAATAGCGTAACGTCAGCAAAAAGATCATCTAAGTGGTCAAGCGTTCGAACACGAGATCGGAGGTTTTAGATTGAAGGTGCTCATTGCTGAGGAGTGCCGTACTGTGAAGAAACATTCGTCCAGCGTTCCCAGACTTCCATGATTACCAAACTTAGATCTCCATAAAACTCAACAATTTCCGCCAACCCATTTTGTTTTATAGTTATCTCACTGGAAAATATAAAATTTCTGTCAAGACCTCAGAATCATTGATAAGTTGAGAGAAAGTATTTTTACCTATGATTCGCGTGTTTAATATTTGTTTATCTGTAATAGTTTCTCTAACTCAAATGTATCACATACAATTTTGGAAGTCCAAAATGGAAGTTAATTTGTCTCAATGATTTTTTAAGTGACTACAAAATAAAGTTCAAGGAATAAAAAAAATAATAAACTGTTCAAATCAAAGTTTACTTTTGATGTTAGTCACTTTGTGTAATTTTTTCTATAGGTTATTCTGAGATTACTTAAGAAAGTTTAGATAATCAATCTTCCCAGAAATGTACACCAAAACTTTTCGACCGATAAAAGTTGCGTTTTAATGGTTTTATAACAACTAAAACCCATTATTAATGAAGTAGATACGTTTGCTAATGAGGTTTGTTATTTTAATTGAAATAGAAATCAGTTCTTTTAAAAGTTACATACATTACTCTTATAAGTACTGGATTCTGAGTGGTGATACCTTGAAATAACGAAATATTTGATAATTGGAGGAAATGATCTAATTACTAAAAAAAAATAGTGTTGCACAACATGTTGGCAGTATTTATTCACTACCAAACTGTTGATTAGTATGATCAAATAGTATGCATCATTGAGAAAAAAAAATTGATAACTGAAATTCTTATAGTACTAATTAGTAGTCAGAATAACCGAAATTGTATTAAGTTCAGTGTGTATTTTGGTATTTTTATTTTTTCTTCCTCTAAACATCTATACGTAATGTTCATTAAGAAGTTAATTGGCAAGGAAAGCAATTAGCTGCATTTGAAGAGAACAGTTTCGTCAAATTTACAGCCAATTCATTGAACTATAGGTTTGTAACTATTTTTTTTTTAAAGTTTATTAAATTGTTTTTTTTTCTTCGAAATTTGGCTTCTACATTTCCTTTTTTATGATGACTACAACAATATTGAACTAGGAAAACTGGAATTTTTATCAGTATTTAAACTATATTGTGTTCTTAAAATTATAAACGAGTGATGTGATAAAATCTGTAATCAAATTCACTGTGATAATGATAGATCAGTATAATTTTTTTAAATCTTCCTAGAAGTTGCTAGGGTTTTCTTCATTAGTATTAATTTGAAGAAGATCAATCCCTGAATACGTAGAGACTTAACAGGCTTAAAATACAATGTGTTATTTAAAATTCAATTTTGTAGGAGAGAGATTGCTGGTATTTGAGCAAGTTACTTGAAGATTGCTTCGAAGGATTTTAATGCATGAGAAATGCGTGTGTCAGCGTGTTGAATTATTTGGCAAGGTAGTATTCCTTGAATTCGGAGCCGATCTACACACTGAATTAGCTAAATTATTGGGTTTTGTTTCATTCTAGTCAGAAATGGGTTGACATTTGTACATAGACTATCAACATTTATTAAAATCACGAATTCTCAATTATCGCAACAAGTACACTACATTCGGATTACTGGTTCATAATCTGATAGCTTGCATTTACAAATTCATTCAAGTAGTAACACTGAGTGATGAAACATCTGTTCAGTTTTAATTAAGTTCATGTAAACTTAGAGATGATGTGAGCCCGGCGTTAAAAGTATTATCAAGTAAAATAGTAACCATCCCTAGTTTAAAATGACTACAATAAAAAGCCTTAATGATCGAATTCCCCTTCAACAAATTAAATCTAAATATATTTGGTTAAAGTAAATGGAGAGAATGTTTGTTAATTAAAGTTAACAAACACAATGAGTCACTGATGAATTAATAGGAAAACAATAAAATATTCTCTTTTTTTGTCAATATTCTATAAATCTTTAAATTATTCCACACATGATACAATGCTTATAGTGTGAAACAGATTGATATTTAAACCTAAAAATAAACGCTGAGAAAGTCAAAATTAGATGATTGAGTAAAGTAAAACTATGATTGAATGAACATTCATAGGACATTGACTAGAACAAATCTATGTGATTGTGTTGAAACATACCTACCAAATGCAAATCAAGATTTGAAATAAACTTTACTCCTGTTACCTACCTAGGTTAACTCTTATATGTTCATTGTCTTCATGCTCATTGTTAAGTCATTTTATAAAACAGTCCTTAATTTCAATGACAAAATATAAGATAATTATTGTGTCAACTTAATATTTGTGGTTGGTCATTTGATGATTTTTCATGAATGGAAGCATTTCATGAATTTTTATCTGTATGTATTCACGTGATCACTTTTCTTATCATTCAGCATATCTTTATTACGACAACTTACTTCCACATTTATCTATAATGTAATAAAACAACTTATGGGTAATATAGTGTTTAATACTCAATAAATCAACTTTCTTCTCCCATATCTATTCCAAATGCCATCTAAATATCGACTTTCTATCACCTGTATTAGCGTGATCAGTTGTTTGCTTTGTCTATGTATCATTTACAAGTATCCGGATAACTTTGTGTTATTTTCTAGATCAATAACACTGTTTATGTAGATATTGTGGATTTTCTATTGTCTGTTGTTGGAGTTGTAGCAACTAGAGGTTATAAGTTATGTTATTGACTAGTGAAGTGAATTGTTTAACATTCACTATCAATCTTTTACAATTTTACCTTTTTAGACCAAATAATCGTCATTATCATATATCGTTTGAATTTCGGCTATCTAATAAAAGTTTTGGAACGAGTATAACGTCTATGAAAGATTATCCATTGGCAAAGAATACAACATTCAATTTGTTCAAACAATATTTAGTCTATGGTGTATTTCAAAGTGTACACCAAGTACAAAATGTTTTAATTCAACTTCTTCCCAGTAGAAGACTAAAATTAGGCTTAGAATATGTACAAATTGAAAAAGAAATAGTCTCCTTATCTAACCAAAAAAATCAATCTTTAAACAATGACGAATTATGGAACACTAGTCGCAATCAATTCGGCCAACGTAGATTAGTACAAAAGTATGACATTTCGGAGATATTGCAATTGGGATACTACTGGCATAAACTTCTACTCACAAAGTTAGTTTCTATTCACAGGTATAAACGTTTTTATATATATTAAACCGTCTTGAAATGTACTTTTGCAAATCAATGTTTTAGATAAGAGAATAGAGATTTATGGCGAATTTCGATAGATTCAACTTGCAAACAATTAAAAAAGAAGTCAAAACAAATTAACAAATTCATTTAAATATTTCTTTTAGCGTTTTAAAGCTCCTAAGTGACAATATAACATTTTTGGGACTAAAACGCTCATCTGATATCAAGGAAACGTTTGTCCATGGAGATCAAAATCATTGATCAAGTAGCCGAAAAAAGTCAACTAAAGTACCTCATATCAGCAGTGTCTATGGTTCATTCTTTAGATTTCATTGAGTCATTGAAACAAATTGGTTCATCATGGAACTTGTCACTTAATAGTTTTTACGCTGTACATGAAGACAATCCTAAATAGTTTATTGGCTCTAACAACCACATTTCACCGAATTCATGCTTTTCATTCATTATGATATTATTGTTATGACATATGCAAGCCATATGTTATTTCACTGAAATCAAACTTTGATTTTTAATGTTTATCATTTAGAAGTTCAAAGGCCGTCACATTATTTATCAATCAGTCACAAGTGGCTCAAATTTATTTTAAAGAAAATGAGATGCGACCGGTTCAATTATTC